GGCTGTCAGTTCTCTGTGGGTTGTGTGTCTCTGTGTGTGTAGAGTGTGTGTGTTGTCTGTGTGTGTGTGGTAGATGTGTTTGTGTATGTCTGTGTGTGTGAGGAGAGTATATAGCTACCTGATATAGGTCCAAGCTGAGACACCTTGCCCAGCCAGGGTAAAGGCTCCGGTCCCGGCTCTCTGGTGTGTGTGTCTCTGTGTGTGTGTGTGATGGTGTGTGTTGTCCTCGTGGTGTGGTGTGGGTTCGTACCTTTTTGTGATGAGAGTAGATACTGACTCTGTTTCTCTGTGGCTGGGTAGTTAGCTCGGTCCTGTGCATTTGGATCTGGGTGAGAGATAGTTTAAGCTGTACCCCTGTGTGTGTGAGAGAGTGTGTGATCTGCTGTATGTGGTGTGAGAGAAGTAGATTAAACAGCATACCCGTGACATGGTCAAAGTGAGAACACCTTGCCAGCCAGTAGCCTCCCGGGCCCGGCTCAAACAGAGACATCATCAGATTAGACTTCTTCTTACTGTCTGCCTGGGAGTACAGCATCCCGTACCACTCTGGAGACGATGATTAACAGCATCCGTACACTCTGGCTGAGAGAGAAGAATAGATTAAACCAGCATCCCGTACCACTGCAGGGACCGTTGGAGAGATAGAGAATAGATTAACCAGCATCCCGTACCACTCTGGCTGGAGAAAATAGAGAATAGATTAAACCCGCATCCCGTACCACTCTGGACTGGGGAGAGAGAATAGATTAACCAGCATCCCGTACCACTCTGGGCGGAGAGATAGAGAATAGATTAACCAGCATCCCGTACCACTCTGGCTGGAGAGATAGAGAATAGATTAACCAGCATCCCGTACCACTCTGGGCTGGAGAGATAGAGAATAGATTAACCAGCATCCCGTACCACTCTGGGCTAGAGAGAGAGAATAGATTAACCAGCATCCCGTACCACTCTGGACTGGAGAGATAGAGAATAGATTAACCAGCATCCCGTACCACTCTGGACTGGAGAGAGAGAATAGATTAACCAGCATCCCGTACCACTCTGGGCTGGAGAGAGAATGATAACAACCCGACCTCTGGGCTGGAGAGAGAGAATAGATGTTAACCAGCATCCCGTACCACTCCGGGCTGGAGAGAGATAGAATAGATTAACCAGCATCCCGTACCACTCTGGGCTAGAGAGAGAGATAGAGAATAGATTAACCAGCATCCCGTACCACTCTGGGCTGGGAGAAGATAGAGAATAGATTAACCAGCATCCCGTACCACTCTGGGCTGGGAGAGAGATAGAGAATAGATTAACCAGCATCCCGTACCACTCTGGGCTGGAGAGAGAGATAGAGAATAGATTAAACAGCATCCCGTACCACTCTGGGCTGGAGAGAGAGAGAATAGATTAACCAGCATCCCGTACCACTCTGGACTGGAGAGAGAGAATAGATTAACCAGCATCCCGTACCACTCTGGGCTGGAGAGAGATAGAGAATAGATTAACCAGCATCCCGTACCACTCTGGGCTGGAGAGAGAGAGAATAGATTAACCAGCATCCCGTACCACTCTGGGCTGAGAGAGAGAGAATAGATTAACCAGCATCCCGTACCACTCTGGACTGGAGAGATAGAGAATAGATTAACCAGCATCCCGTACCACTCTGGGCTGGAGAGATAGAGAATAGATTAACCAGCATCCGTACCACTCTGGGCTGGAGAGAAGAGGAATAGATTAACCAGCATCCCGATACCACTCTGGGACTGGAGAGAGAGAATAGATTAACCAGCATCCCGTACCACTCTGGGCTAGAGAGAGAGAATAGATTAACCAGCATCCCGTACCACTCTGGACTAGAGGGAGAGAGAATAGATTAACCAGCATCCCGTACCACTCTGGGCTGGAGAGAGATAGAGAATAGATTAACCAGCATCCCGTACCACTCCGGGCTGGAGAGAGATAGAGAATAGATTAACCAGCATCCCGTACCACTCTGGGCTGGAGAGAGAGATAGAGAATAGATTAACCAGCATCCCGTACCACTCTGGGCTGGGAGAGAAGAGAATAGATTAACCAGCATCCCGTACCACTCTGGGCTGGAGAGAGATAGAGAATGATAACCAGCATCCCGTACCACTCTGGCTGGAGAGATAGAGAATAGATTAACCAGCATCCCGTACCACTCTGGGCTGAGAGAGAGAAAAGATTATAAACCAGCATCCCGTACCACTCTGGGCTAGAGGGAGAGAGAATAGATTAACCAGCACCGTACCACTCTGGGCTGGAGAGAGATAGAGAATAGATTAACCAGCATCCCGTACCACTCGGGGCTGGAGAGAGATAGAGAATAGATTAACCAGCATCCCGTACCACTCCGGGCTGGAGAGAGAGATAGAGAATAGATTAACCAGCATCCCGTACCACTCTGGGCTGGAGAGAGATAGAGAATAGATTAACCAGCATCCCGTACCACTCTGGGCTGGAGAGAGATAGAGAATAGATTAACCAGCATCCCGTACCACTCTGGACTGGAGAGATAGAGAATAGATTAACCAGCATCCCGTACCACTCTGGACTGGAGAGATAGAGAATAGATTAACCAGCATCCCGTACCACTCTGGGCTAGAGAGAGATAGAGAATAGATTAACATATATCTTACCCCCAAGCTGTACAGAACCAGCATGCCCTCTACACTTTAGTAACATGTATAAGTAGTTATGAACTTTATCATGTGCATAACAGAATATAGTAATATCTTACCCCAGCTGTACCAGTGCACCATGCCCTCTACCTTATAACATGTTATAAGTATGTATGAACCTTATATGTGTCATAACAGAAATATAGTAAATCTACCCCAGCTGTAACCAGTGCCACCATGCCCTCTACCTTTATAACATGTTATAAGTATGTTATGAACCTTTATAATGTGTCATAACAGAATATAGTAATATCTTACCCCAGCTGTACCAGTGCCACCATGCCCTCTACCTTTATAACATGTTATAAGTATGTTATGAACCTTTATAATGTGTCATAACAGAATATAGTAATATCTTACCCCAGCTGTACCAGCGCCACCATGCCCTCTACCTTTATAACATGTTATAAGTATGTTATGAACCTTTATAATGTGTCATAACAGAACATAGTAATATCTACCCCAGCTGTACCAGCGCCACCATGCCCTCACCTTTAACTGCATGAGTAGGAACAAAGTTGGACATTCCCTCCCCGCTGTGCAGGTCCCTCCTCCTGCTCCTCTGTGGTTCCGGGACCCACTTCATCCACCTCTGGAACCAAGAACACAACAATAAACTCATTACAACACTCATTTAGAACATTAGAACACTATTTTAGAACATCAGAACACTATTTTAGAACATTAGAACATTCATTTAGAACATTAGAATAGTCATTTAGAACAGTCTTTTAAGACATTAGAACACACTTTTAGAATATATAAACACTCTTTTAGAACATTACAACACTCATTTAGAACATTAGAACTATATTTTAGAACACTATTTTGGTATTAGTTAAAAGGCAAGAGCCCAGTCTGAGGAGAACAGATTAGAAGCGGTAACTACCTTTATTGACAGCGATAGGGAGAACCAGGTGTCTGGACATGACAGGAGGACTCGAGATGTCTCCTATCTCTATGAAACCAACTATCTCCAGATCTGCAACACAGTTAGTTTTACTTGATGTATACATTGACAGCTTGAAGTGGAATGGCAGTTTTACAGCACATACAATAACACATCTAAATCAATGAACTGTGATGGTCATCAAGAAAATCTGAAAGTCCGTAAGAGAGTTGAACACAGTTGAATTGAAGGAGACTAAGCTGATAGAGAACATCCAGCGCCTATAGAAAGATTACACCCCCTTGAATTGTTTTCACATTTTGTTGTGTCGATGCCTCAAAGTTTCATGCATTTAGATAAGGATTTCTCACCACTAATCTACACACCATACTCCAACCTTTTAAGGGGAAAAATACAAAACTGAAATATCATAATTGGATAAGTCTCAACCCCCCCCCCCCCATTAGACAATACTTGGTGGAAGCACCTTTGTCAGCCATTACAGCTGTGAGTCTGTTGGGATGGGTCTCAACCAACTTTGCACACCTAGACTTGGCAATATTTGACCATTCTCTTCTACAAAACTGTTCAAGCTCTGTCAAGTGACTTGGGAAGCGTTGATGGACAGCGTTGTATTGACGTCAGGGCTCTGACTGGGAAGCGTTGATGGACAGCGTTGTATTGAGGTCCGGGCTCTGACTGGGAAGCGTTGATGGACAGCGTTGTATTGACGTCAGGGCTCTGACTGGGAAGCGTTGATGGACAGCGTTGTATTGAGGTCAGGGCTGACTGGGAAGCGTTGATGGACAGCGTTGTATTGAGGTCCGGGCTCTGACTGGGAAGCGTTGATGGACAGCGTTGTATTGAGGTCCGGGGCTCTGACTGGGAAGCGTTGATGGACAGCGTTGTATTGAGGTCAGGGCTCTGACTGGGAAGCGTTGATGGACAGCGTTGTATTGAGGTCCGGGCTCTGACTGGGAAGCGTTGATGGACAGCGTTGTATTGAGGTCAGGGCTCTGACTGGGAAGCGTTGATGGACAGCGTTGTATTGAGGTCCGGGCTCTGACTGGGAAGCGTTGATGGACAGCGTTGTATTGATGTCAGGGCTCTGACTGGGAAGCGTTGATGGACAGCGTTGTATTGAGGTCAGGGCTCTGACTGGGAAGCGTTGATGGACAGCGTTGTATTGATGTCAGGGCTCTGACTGGGAAGCGTTGATGGACAGCGTTGTATTGACGTCAGGGCTCTGACTGGGAAGCGTTGATGGACAGCGTTGTATTGAGGTCAGGGCTCTGACTGGGAAGCGTTGATGGACAGCGTTGTATTGACGTCAGGGCTCTGACTGGGAAGCGTTGATGGACAGCGTTGTATTGAGGTCAGGGCTCTGACTGGGAAGCGTTGATGGACAGCGTTGTATTGAGGTCAGGGCTGACTGGGAAGCGTTGATGGACAGCGTTGTATTGAGGTCCGGGCTCTGACTGGGAAGCGTTGATGGACAGCGTTGTATTGAGGTCAGGGCTCTGACTGGGAAGCGTTGATGGACAGCGTTGTATTGAGGTCCGGGCTCTGACTGGGAAGCGTTGATGGACAGCGTTGTATTGACGTCAGGGCTCTGACTGGGAAGCGTTGATGGACAGCGTTGTATTGACGTCAGGGCTCTGACTGGGAAGCGTTGATGGACAGCGTTGTATTGAGGTCAGGGCTCTGACTGGGAAGCGTTGATGGACAGCGTTGTATTGAGGTCAGGGCTCTGACTGGGAAGCGTTGATGGACAGCGTTGTATTGAGGTCAGAGCTCTGACTGGGAAGCGTTGATGGACAGCGTTGTATTGAGGTCAGGGCTCTGACTGGGAAGCGTTGATGGACAGCGTTGTATTGAGGTCAGGGCTCTGACTGGGAAGCGTTGACGGACAGCGTTGTATTGAGGTCCGGGCTCTGACTGCGCCAATCAAGGACATTTACACCTTTTTTATTCCTTAGCCACTCCACTGGCTTCGGCTTGTTGTCATGCTGAAAGTTTCAGCATTTTTCTTCAAGGACTTTTCTGTACATTGCACCATTACATTTCCCCTTCTATCCTGGTAACATGTTATGGGGACTGAAACATCCCCATAACATGCTGCTGCCGCCATGCTTCACAGTAGGGATGGTGTTCTTTGGGTGATGTGCCTTGTTGGGTTTGCGTCAAACGTAACGCTTTGCATTTAGGCCCAAAAGTTCAATTTATGTTTTGTCAGACCACAAAACTTTTTGTCACATGGCTACAGAATCTCCCAAGCCTTTTTTTTTTTTTTTTTGCATACTTCAAAAGGGATTCAAGATGGGCTTTCTGGAGTAATGGCTTCCTTCTGGACACCCTACCATACATGGCAGATTTGTGGAGCGCTTGGCATATTGTTGTCACATTCACACTGTGACCAGTCTTGGCCATAGAAGCCTGTAGCACTTTCGAAGTTGCCATTGGACTCTTGGTAGCCTCTCTGATCAGTCTCCTACTGGCTCAGTCTCCTCTCTGATCAGTCTCCTCTCTGATCAGTCTCCTACTGGCTCAGTCTCCTCTCTGATCAGTCTCCTACTGGCTCAGTCTCCTCTCTGATCAGTCTCCTACTGGCTCAGTCTCCTCTCTGATCAGTCTCCTCTCTGATCAGTCTCCTCTCTGATCAGTCTCCTCTCTGATCAGTCTCCTCTCTGATCAGTCTCCTCTCTGATCAGTCTCCTCTCTGATCAGTCTCCTCTCTGATCAGTCTCCTACTGGCTCAGTCTCCTCTCTGATCAGTCTCCTCTCTGATCAGTCTCCTCTCTGATCAGTCTCCTCTCTGATCAGTCTCCTCTCTGATCAGTCTCCTCTCTGATCAGTCTCCTACTGTCTCAGTCTCCTCTCTGATCAGTCTCCTCTCTGATCAGTCTCCTACTGGCTCAGTCTCCTCTCTGATCAGTCTCCTACTGGCTCAGTCTCCTCTCTGATCAGTCTCCTACTGGCTCAGTCTCCTCTCTGATCAGTCTCCTCTCTGATCAGTCTCCTCTCTGATCAGTCTCCTCTCTGATCAGTCTCCTCTCTGATCCATACACCTACTACTTCTTGACCGTTTATTTTTATTTTTTATTTTACCTTTATTTAACCAGGTAAGAAGCCAGTTGAGAACAAGTTCTCATTTACAACTGCGACCTGGCCAAGATAAAGCAAAGCAGTGCGATAAAAACAACAACAACACAGAGGTCCAAGGGATCCTCAAGGCCTTATGTTGATAGCCATCCCCTGGATCCTCAAGGCCTTATGTTGATAGCCATCCCCTGGATCCTCAAGGCCTTATGTTGATAGCCATCCCCTGGATCCTCAAGGCCATATGTTGATAGCCATCCCCTGATCTGTGCCTTTCCACAACTTGGTCCCGGAGTTCTTCTGAAAGCTCCTTGGTGCTCATGGTTGAGTGTTTGCTTTGTAATTCACTACCCAGCAGAGGGAACCTACAGGAACTGCTGAATTTATCCTAAAATCATGTGAATCACTACAATTTAACACAGGTGGAGGCCAATTACCCTGATGTGTGATCGGTTACACCTGAGCTCATTTAGGATTGCTATTACAAGGACACAAGCTATTTAAGTTTTTATTTTTTTTATTGATTTTATAAAAACTAAAATGAATATTTGTTTCAATTGGAAGTTGTGGGGTATGATGGGTAGATCAATGTGGGGGGGGGAAACTATTTTAATGCATTTTAATTCCAGGCTATAAGGCAACAAAAGATGGAACTGTTGAAAGTGGTGTAGACTTTCTATAGTCACTGTATGGTTAGGATCATTTAGAAAGCCTGTTGGGTACTGGGCTGATAGACAACATATGGTTAGGATCATTTAGACAGCCTGTTGGGTACTGGGCTGATAGACGACATATGGTTAGGATCATTTAGACAGCCTGTTGGGTACTGGGCTGATAGACAACATATGGTTAGGATCATTTAGACAGCCTGTTGGGTACTGGGCTGATAGACAACATATGGTTAGGATCATTTAGAAAGCCTGTTGGGTACTGGGCTGATAGACAACATATGGTTAGGATCATTTAGACAGCCTGTTGGGTACTGGGCTGATAGACAACATATGGTTAGGATCATTTAGACAGCCTGTTGGGTACTGGGCTGATAGACAACATATGGTTAGGATCATTTAGACAGCCTGTTGGGTACTGGGCTGATAGACAACTGGGCTGATAGACAACTGGGCTGATAGACAACATATGGATAGGATCATTTAGAAAGCCTGTTGGGTACTGGGCTGATAGACAACTGGGCTGATAGACAACTGGGCTGATAGACAACATATGGTTAGGATAATTTAGACAGCCTGTTGGGTACTGGGCTGATAGACAACTGGGCTGATAGACAACTGGGCTGATAGACAACATATGGTTAGGATCATTTAGAAAGCCTGTTGGGTACTGGGCTGATAGACAACATATGGTTAGGATCATTTAGAAAGCCTGTTGGGTACTGGGCTGATAGACAACTGGGCTGATAGACAACTGGGCTGATAGACAACTGGGCTGATAGACAACATATGGTTAGGATAATTTAGACAGCCTGTTGGGTACTGGGCTGATAGGGTACTGGGCTGATAGACAACTGGGCTGATAGACAACATATGGTTAGGATCATTTAGACAGCCTGTTGGGTACTGGGCTGATAGACAACATATGGTTAGGATCATTTAGACAGCCTGTTGGGTACTGGGCTGATAGACAACATATGGTTAGGATCATTTAGACAGCCTGTTGGGTACTGGGCTGATAGACAACATATGGTTAGGATCATTTAGACAGCCTGTTGGGTACTGGGCTGATAGACAACATATGGTTAGGATCATTTAGACAGCCTGTTGGGTACTGGGCTGATAGACAACATATGGTTAGGATCATTTAGAAAGCCTGTTGGGTACTGGGCTGATAGACGACATATGGTTAGGATCATTTAGAAAGCCTGTTGGGTTACTGGGCTGATAGACGACATATGGTTAGGATCATTTAGAAAGCCTGTTGGGTACTGGGCTGATAGACAACATATGGTTAGGATCATTTAGAAAGCCTGTTGGGTACTGGGCTGATAGACAACATATGGTTAGGATAATTTAGAAAGCCTGTTGGGTACTGGGCTGATAGACAACATATGGTTAGGATCATTTAGAAAGCCTGTTGGGTACTGGGCTGATAGACAACATATGGTTAGGATCATTTAGAAAGCCTGTTGGGTAATGGGCTGATAGACAACACTATGGTTAGGATCATTTAGAAAGCCTGTTGGGTACTGGGCTGATAGACAACATATGGTTAGGATCATTTAGACAGCCTGTTGGGTACTGGGCTGATAGACTACATATGGTTAGGATCATTTAGAAAGCCTGTTGGGTACTGGGCTGATAGACAACATATGGTTAGGATCATTTAGAAAGCCTGTTGGGTACTGGGCTGATAGACAACATATGGTTAGGATCATTTAGAAAGCCTGTTGGGTACTGGGCTGATAGACAACTGGGCTGATAGACAACATATGGTTAGGATCATTTAGAAAGCCTGTTGGGTACTGGGCTGATAGACAACATATGGTTAGGATCATTTAGACAGCCTGTTGGGTACTGGGCTGATAGACAAACATATGGTTAGGATCATTTAGAAAGCCTGTTGGGTACTGGGCTGATAGACAACATATGGTTAGGATCATTTAGACAGCCTGTTGGGTACTGGGCTGATAGACAACATATGGTTAGGATCATTTAGAAAGCCTGTTGGGTACTGGGCTGATAGACAACATATGGTTAGGATCATTTAGAAAGCCTGTGGGGTACTGGGCTGATAGACAACATATGGTTAGGATCATTTAGAAAGCCTGTTGGGTACTGGGCTGATAGACAACATATGGTTAGGATCATTTAGAAAGCCTGTTGGGTACTGGGCTGATAGACAACATATGGTTAGGATCATTTAGAAAGCCTGTTGGGTACTGGGATGATAGACGACATATGGTTAGGATCATTTAGAAAGCCTGTTGGGTACCTGTGAGGATGTGTCGGGGCATAGGGTCAATTTCTTCATCCAGGAACACAGGCTCCGGTCTGGGGAACACCTGGACATCAGAAGCCAGGTTCCCACAGCGCAGCACAGCAGGGAAGGGGGAGTAGGCCGCATCTATCAGACGCCTGGACAGACCAATCAGTTGGAACATTAGTGGAAACAAGACACTAGCTGAGATAGAGAACTAGCTAGGGCTGCGACGCTCATGGAACTAGCTAGGGCTGCGGCGCTCATGGAACTAGCTAGGGCTGCGGCGCTCATGGAACTAGCTAGGGCAGCGGTGCTCATGGAACTAGCTAGGGCTGCGGCGCTCATGCAACTAGCTAGGGCTGCGGCGCTCATGGAACTAGCTAGGGCTGCGGCGCTCATGGAACTAGCTAGGGCTGCGGCGCTCATGGATCTAGCTAGGGCTGCGGTGCTCATGGAACTAGCTAGGGCTGCGGCGCTCATGGAACTAGCTAGGGCTGCGGCGCTCATGGAACTAGCTAGGGCTGCGGCGCTCATGGAACTAGCTAGGGCTGCGGCGCTCATGGATATAGCTAGGGCTGCGGCGCTCATGGAACTAGCTAGGGCTGCGGCGCTCATGGATCTAGCTAGGGCTGCGGCGCTCATGGAACTAGCTAGGGCTGCGGCGCTCATGGATCTAGCTAGGGCTGCGGCGCTCATGGATCTAGCTAGGGCTGTGGCGCTCATGGAACTAGCTAGGGCTACGGCGCTCATGGAACTAGCTAGGGCTGCGGTGCTCATGGATCTAGCTAGGGCTGTGGCGCTCATGGAACTAGCTAGGGCTGCGGCGCTCATGGATCTAGCTAGGGCTGCGGCGCTCATGGAACTAGCTAGGGCTGCGGCGCTCATGGAACTAGCTAGGGCTGCGGCGCTCATGGATCTAGCTAGGGCTGCGGCGCTCATGGATCTAGCTAGGGCTGTGGCGCTCATGGAACTAGCTAGGGCTACGGCGCTCATGGAACTAGCTAGGGCTGCGGTGCTCATGGATCTAGCTAGGGCTGTGGCGCTCATGGAACTAGCTAGGGCTGCGGCGCTCATGGATCTAGCTAGGGCTGTGGCGCTCATGGATCTAGCTAGGGCTGTGGCGCTCATGGAACTAGCTAGGGCTGCGGCGCTCATGGAACTAGCTAGGGCTGCGGCGCTCATGGATCTAGCTAGGGCTGTGGCGCTCATGGATCTAGCTAGGGCTGCGGCGCTCATGGAACTAGCTAGGGCTGCGGCGCTCATGGATCTAGCTAGGGCTGTGGCGCTCATGGAACTAGCTAGGGCTACGGCGCTCATGGAACTAGCTAGGGCTGCGGTGCTCATGGATCTAGCTAGGGCTGTGGCGCTCATGGAACTAGCTAGGGCTACGGCGCTCATGGAAACTAGCTAGGGCTGCGGTGCTCATGGATCTAGCTAGGGCTGTGGCGCTCATGGAACTAGCTAGGGCTGCGGCGCTCATGGATCTAGCTAGGGCTGCGGCGCTCATGGATCTAGCTAGGGCTGTGGCGCTCATGGAACTAGCTAGGGCTGCGGCGCTCATGGAACTAGCTAGGGCTGCGGCGCTCATGGATCTAGCTAGGGCTGTGGCGCTCATGGATCTAGCTAGGGCTGTGGCGCTCATGGAACTAGCTAGGGCTACGGCGCTCATGGAACTAGCTAGGGCTGCGGTGCTCATGGATCTAGCTAGGGCTGTGGCGCTCATGGAACTAGCTAGGGCTACGGCGCTCATGGAACTAGCTAGGGCTGCGGTGCTCATGGATCTAGCTAGGGCTGTGGCGCTCATGGAACTAGCTAGGGCTGCGGCGCTCATGGATCTAGCTAGGGCTGCGGCGCTCATGGATCTAGCTAGGGCTGTGGCGCTCATGGAACTAGCTAGGGCTGCGGCGCTCATGGAATTCTGGATGACAGTTATTGGCCAGCCAAATGACCGCAGTCACAGTAATAACCGTTCGAATAGCAACAAAATGAAATCATTTTTCTCCTTCTCTCCTCCGCTCCTGTCTGCATGTGCTGCCATATAAATAGAATGAACATAACGGGCGTCCCCTTTCAAGTCAACGATGGCATAGTGGGTGGACTGGCGGCCCATTACGACTGTACCCATAGGAGCAAAGCAGGAAGTGTACCCATCAAAATGTGCTGTGATTTGTTGATTCAAACTCAACTGACAGAACCAAAAATAAATTCCATTGCATGAGCCACATCAGTTAACATCATTTGAATGAACATTCTACATTACCATGGAAATGATTGCATCACAATACCAGTTAGCCAGTCATATTACCAGGGTTAGAGGTTCCAACCCCCTTCTATTCATTCTATTTGTGTGTGTGCTGCTACATTAATACTTATTTTCCACCATAATTTGCAAATAAATTCATTAAAAATCCTACAATGTGATTTTCTGGATTTCTTTTTCTCATTTTGTCTGTCTTAGTTGACGTGTACCTATGATGAAAATTACAGGCCTCTCTCATCTTTTTAAGTGGGAGAACTTGCACAATTGGTGGCTGACTAAATACTTTTTTCCCCCACTGTATCTCTAGCTTAAAATGACATATTTCTTTCCGGTTATGACAGTTATTTTATTTTCATAACGGTCTTTATCCACAACTGTCGGTTACACGGTTATACGGTAATTGTGCCAGGCCTAGACCTAGCTAGGCCCAAAGATAAGTCAGGTGCTTCTGCTGAAGTACAACATACCCAAACATGGACTGTACACTCTTCAGACAGAGCTGGCCTTCCATGGTGAAGATCTGTCCATCTCCTCCGTTCAGTTGGAGCAGCTGCTCCAGGTTATCCATAGTGTCGGTCATCTGTAACTATAGAGGGACGAAGAACAGGGGATGTAGTGGCAACTCTGGAGATAACAGAACATCAGGTAGAATATCAGCCACTATAACAGAACATCAGGTAGAATATCAGCCGCTATAACAGAACATCAGGTAGAATATCAGCCACTATAACAGAACATCAGGTAGAATATCAGCCACTATAACAGAACATCAGGTAGAATATCAGCCACTATAACAGAACATCAGGTAGAATATCAGCCACTATAACAGAACAGCAGGTAGAATATCAGCCACTATAACAGAACATCAGGTAGAATATCAGCCACTATAACAGAACAGCAGGTAGAATATCAGCCACTATAACAGAACATCAGGTAGAATATCAGCCACTATAACAGAACATCAGGTAGAATATCAGCCACTATAACAGAACATCAGGTAGAATATCAGCCGCTATAAACAGAACATCAGGTAGAATATCAGCCGCTATAACAGAACATCAGGTAGAATATCAGCCGCTATAACAGAACATCAGGTAGAATATCAGCCACTATAACAGAACATCAGGTAGAATATCAGCCACTATAACAGAACATCAGGTAGAATATCAGCCGCTATAACAGAACATCAGGTAGAATATCAGCCGCTATAACAGAACATCAGGTAGAATATCAGCCGCTATAACAGAACATCAGGTAGAATATCAGCCACTATAACAGAACATCAGGTAGAATATCAGCCACTATAACAGAACATCAGGTAGAATATCAGCCACTATAACAGAACATCAGGTAGAATATCAGCCGCTATAACAGAACATCAGGTAGAATATCAGCCACTATAACAGAACATCAGGTAGAATATCAGCCACTATAACAGAACATCAGGTAGAATATCAGCCGCTATAACAGAACATCAGGTAGAATATCAGCCGCTATAACAGAACATCAGGTAGAATATCAGCCGCTATAACAGAACATCAGGTAGAATATCAGCCACTATAACAGAACATCAGGTAGAATATCAGCCACGGGATGATACCAGTATCGCAATATTTTTTTCCATGGCAAAAAAGAAAACAGGAAGCAGACCAACTCTTTGGTCCTGTAAAAACCTGCTGTATGTAAAACATTGTGTGATATATAGTTTGGAAAATAAATACATGTGACTGGATGACAACATTATGATGTTTGTTTTCAACATCAGGGCTGAAGTTAAATCCGCTTCAGGTTTTGTTTCCTTGCCATGATACTATCGAGTATCGCGATACTGGTATCGTCCTGACCCTAGCAGACACCATGCTAACACAAACAACATGATTTGAATGTGCCAAAAGCATCAAACACATTGAATTGGTTCTGAGGAATATGAATAGGATGACCAAACTGATTCCTTCCCAGATAACACTAATAATCTCTGTCTCAAATGGGAAGCAGACTTAGGGGAAAGTATTACAAATGAGGAATGTGAAGATTTCTGGGATACTACACATTCATGTGCATTATAGTATAATAGGTAAATGTCTGAATTTGTACAGTCCCCTAACATAACTCCGGGTCAGGCTCACGGTGGCCGGGACAGTCCCCTAACATAACTCCGGGTCAGGCTCACGGTGGCCGGGACAGTCCCCTAACATAACTCCGGGTCAGGCTCACGGTGGCCGGGGGTGGGGTGGATCGGTATGTGGAGTGGCCGGGGGTGGGGTGGATCGGAATGTGGAGTGGCCGGGGGTGGGGTGGATCGGTATGTGGAGTGGCCGGGGGTGGGGTGGATCGGTATGTGGAGTGGCCGGGGGTGGGGTGGATCGGTATGTGGAGTGGCCGGGGGTGGGGGTGGATCGGTATGTGGAGTGGCCGGGGGTGGGGGTGGATCGGTATGTGGAGTGGCCGGGGTGGGGTGGATCGGTATGTGGAGTGGCCGGGGGTGGGGTGGATCGGTATGTGGAGTGGCCAGGGGTTGTGGCGGCCAGTCTGAGAGGCACTGTCGCAGACTATCAAATAACTCTGCATGAAATAAGACGATGATTTCAGATGAAACTACATAGGAAAGAATTATGATTATGATATTATTATATCATTATTATTATTGTGGGGGATGTTTACCCAGCCACAGGGAAGAGATGGGTTGGGGATGTTTACCCCGGATGGGTGGGGGATGTTACCCAGCCACAGGGAAGAGATGGGTGGGGGATGTTTACCCAGCCACAGGGTAGAGATAGCAGGGGGATGTTTACCCAGCCACAGGGAAGAGATGGGTGGGGGGATGTTTACCCAGCCACAGGGAAGAGATGGGTCGGGGGATGTTTACCCAGCCACAGGGAAGAGATGGGTGGGGGATGTTTACCCAGCCACAGGGAAGAGATAGCAGGGGGATGTTTACCCAGCCACAGGGAAGAGATGGGTGGGGGATGTTTACCCAGCCACAGGGAAGAGATGAGTGGGGGGGATGTTTACCCAGCCACAGGGAAGAGATGAGTGGGGGGGATGTTTACCCAGCCACAGGGAAGAGATGGGTGGGGGATGTTTACCCAGCCACAGGGAAGAGAAGAGTGGGGGGGATGTTTACCCAGCCACAGGGAAGAGATGAGTGGGGGGGATGTTTACCCAGCCACAGGGAAGAGATGAGTGGGGGATGTTTACCCAGCCACAGGGAAGAGATGAGTGGGGGATGTTTACCCAGCCACAGGGAAGAGATGAGTGGGGGGGATGTTTACCCAGCCACAGGGAAGAGATGAGTGGGGGTGATGTTTACCCAGCCACAGGGTAGAGATGGCAGGGGGGATGTTTACCCAGCCACAGGGAAGAGATGGCAGGGGGATGTTTACCCAGCCACAGGGAAGAGATGGGTGGGGGATGTTTACCCAGCCACAGGGAAGAGATGGGTGGGGGATGTTTACCCAGCCACAGGGTAGAGATGGGTGGGGGGATGTTTACCCAGCCACAGGGAAGAGATGGGTGGGGGATGTTTACCTAGCCACAGGGTAGAGATGGCAGGGGGATGTTTACCCCAGCCACAGGGTAGAGATGGCAGGGGGGATGTTTACACAGCCACAGGGTAGAGATGGCAGGGGGGATGTTTACCCAGCCACAGGGAAGAGATGAGTGGGGGATGTTTACCCAGCCACAGGGTAGAGATGGCAGGGGGGATGTTGTACCCAGCCACAGGGAAGAGATGGGTGGGGGGATGTTTACCCAGCCACAGGGAAGAGATGGGTGGGGGATGTTTACCCCCGGATGGGTGGGGGATGTTTACCCAGCCACAGGGAAGAGATGGGTGGGGGATGCTTACCCAGCCACAGGGAAGAGATGGGTGGGGGATGTTTACCCAGCCACAGGGAAGAGATGGGTGGGGGATGTTTACCCAGCCACAGGGAAGAGATGGGTGGGGGATGTTTACCCCAGCCACAGGGAAGAGATGGGTGGGGGATGTTTACCCCAGCCACAGGGAAGAGATGGGTGGGGGATGTTTACCCAGCCACAGGGTAGAGATAGCAGGGGGATGTTTACCCAGCCACAGGGAAGAGATGGGTGGGGGGATGTTTACCCAGCCACAGGGAAGAGATGGGTCGGGGGATGTTTACCCAGCCACAGGGAAGAGATGGGTGGGGGATGTTTACCCAGCCACAGGGAAGAGATAGCAGGGGGATGTTTACCCAGCCACAGGGAAGAGATGGGTGGGGGATGTTTTACCCAGCCACAGGGAAGAGATGAGTGGGGGGGATGTTTACCCAGCCACAGGGAAGAGATGAGTGGGGGGGATGTTTACCCAGCCACAGGGAAGAGATGGGTGGGGGATGTTTACCCAGCCACAGGGAAGAGATGAGTGGGGGGGATGTTTACCCAGCCACAGGGAAGAGATGAGTGGGGGGGGATGTTTACCCAGCCACAGGGAAGAGATGAGTGGGGGATGTTTACCCAGCCACAGGGACGAGATGAGTGGGGGATGTTTACTCAGCCACAGGGAAGAGATGAGTGGGGGGGATGTTTACCCAGCCACAGGGAAGAGATGAGTGGGGGTGATGTTTACCCAGCCACAGGGTAGAGATGGCAGGGGGGATGTTTACCCAGCCACAGGGAAGAGATGAGTGGGGGGGATGTTTACCCAGCCACAGGGAAGAGATGAGTGGGGGGGATGTTTACCCAGCCACAGGGAAGAGATGGGTGGGGGATGTTTACCCAGCCACAGGGAAGAGATGAGTGGGGGGGATGTTTACCCAGCCACAGGGAAGAGATGAGTGGGGGGGATGTTTACCCAGCCACAGGGAAGAGATGAGTGGGGGATGTTTACCCAGCCACAGGGAAGAGATGAGTGGGGGATGTTTACCCAGCCACAGGGAAGAGATGAGTGGGGGGGATGTTTACCCAGCCACAGGGAAGAGATGAGTGGGGGTGATGTTTACCCAGCCACAGGGTAGAGATGGCAGGGGGGATGTTTACCCAGCCACAGGGAAAAGATGGCAGGGGGATGTTTACCCAGCCACAGGGAAGAGATGGGTGGGGGATGTTTACCCAGCCACAGGGAAGAGATGGGTGGGGGATGTTTACCCAGCCACAGGGTAGAGATGGGTGGGGGATGTTTACCCAGCCACAGGGAAGAGATGGGTGGGGGATGTTTACCAGCCACAGGGTAGAGATGGGTGGGGGATGTTTACCCAGCCACAGGGAAGAGATGGGTGGGGGATGTTTACCCAGCCACAGGGTAGAGATGGGTGGGGGATGTTTACCCAGCCACAGGGAAGAGATGGGTGGGGGATGTTTACCTAGCCACAGGGTAGAGATGGCAGGGGGATGTTTACCCAGCCACAGGGTAGAGATGGCAGGGGGGATGTTTACACAGCCACAGGGTAGAGATGGCAGGGGGGATGTTTACCCAGCCACAGGGAAGAGATGAGTGGGGGATGTTTACCCAGCCACAGGGTAGAGATGGCAGGGGGGATGTTTACCCAGCCACAGGGAAGAGATGGGTGGGGGGATGTTTACCCAGCCACAGGGAAGAGATGGGTGGGGGATGTTTACCCAGCCACAGGGAAGAGATGGGTGGGGGGATGTTTACCCAGCCACAGGGAAGAGATGGGTGGGGGATGTTTACCCAGCCACAGGGAAGAGATGGGTGGGGGGATGTTTACCCAGCCACAGGGAAGAGATGGGTGGGGGATGTTTATCCAGCCACAGGGAAGAGATGGGTGGGGGATGTTTACCCAGCCACAGGGAAGAGATGGGTGGGGGGATGTTTACCCAGCCACAGGGAAGAGATGGGTGGGGGATGTTTACCCAGCCACAGGGTAGAGATGGGTGGGGGGATGTTTACCCAGCCACAGGGAAGATATGGGTGGGGGATGTTTACCCAGCCACAGGGAAGAGATGGGTGGGGAGATGTTTACCCAGCCACAGGGAAGAGATGGGTGGGGGATGTTTACCCAGCCACAGGGTAGAGATGGGTGGGGGGGATGTTTACCCAGCCACAGGGAAGAGATGAGTGGGGGATGTTTACCCAGCCACAGGGAAGAGATGAGTGGGGGATGTTTACCCAGCCACAGGGAAGAGATGGGTGGGGGATGTTTACCCAGCCACAGGGTAGAGATGGGTGGGGGGATGTTTACCCAGCCACAGGGAAGAGATGAGTGGGGGGGATGTTTACCCAGCCACAGGGAAGAGATGAGTGGGGGATGTTTACCCAGCCACAGGGAAGAGATGAGTGGGGGATGTTTACCCAGCCACAGGGAAGAGATGAGTGGGGGATGTTTACCCAGCCACAGGGAAGAGATGAGTGGGGGATGTTTACCCAGCCACAGGGAAGAGATGAGTGGGGGGGATGTTTACCCAGCCACAGGGAAGAGATGAGTGGGGGGGATGTTTACCCAGCCACAGGGTAGAGATGAGTGGGGGGGATGTTTACCCAGCCACAGGGTAGAGATGGCAGGGGGGATGTTTACCCAGCCACAGGGAATAGATGGGTGGGGGATGTTTACCCAGCCACAGGGAAGAGATGGGTGGGGGATGTTTACCCAGCCACAGGGTAGAGATGGGTGGGGGATGTTTACCCAGCCACAGGGAAGAGATGGGTGGGGGATGTTTACCCAGCCACAGGGAAGAGATGGGGGGGGGATGTTTACCCAGCCACAGGGAAGAGATGAGTGGGGGATGTTTACCCAGCCACAGGGTAGAGATGGCAGGGGGATGTTTACCCAGCCACAGGGTAGAGATGGCAGGGGGGATGTTTACCCAGCCACAGGGTAGAGATGGCAGGGGGGATGTTTACCCAGCCACAGGGAAGAGATGAGTGGGGGATGTTTACCCAGCCACAGGGTAGAGATGGCAGGGGGGATGTTTACCCAGCCACAGGGAAGAGATGGGTGGGGGATGTTTACCCAGCCACAGGGAAGAGATGGGTGGGGGGATGTTTACCCAGCCACAGGGAAGAGATGGGTGGGGGGATGTTTACCCAGCCACAGGGAAGAGATGGGAGGGGGGATGTTTACCCAGCCACAGGGAAGAGATGGGTGGGGGGATGTTTACCCAGCCACAGGGAAGAGATGGGAGGGGGGATGTTTACCCAGCCACAGGGAAGAGATGGGAGGGGGGATGTTTACCCAGCCACAGGGAAGAGATGGGTGGGGGGATGTTTACCCAGCCACAGGGAAGAGATGGGTGGGGGATGTTTTACCCAGCCACAGGGAAGAGATGGGTGGGGGGATGTTTACCCAGCCACAGGGAAGAGATGGGTGGGGGGATGTTTACCCAGCCACAGGGAAGAGATGGGAGGGGGGATGTTTACCCAGCTACAGGGAAGAGATGGGTGGGGGATGTTTACCCAGCCACAGGGAAGAGATGAGTGGGGGGATGTTTACCCAGCCACAGGGAAGAGATGGGTGGGGGATGTTTACCCAGCCACAGGGAAGAGATGGGTGGGGGATGTTTACCCAGCCACAGGGAAGAGATGAGTGGGGGGGATGTTTACCCAGCCACAGGGAAGAGATGGGTGGGGGTATGTTTACCCAGCCACAGGGAAGAGATGGGTGGGGGATGTTTACCCAGCCACAGGGTAGAGATGGGTGGGGGGATGTTTACCCAGCCACAGGGAAGAGATGAGTGGGGGATGTTTACCCAGCCACAGGGAAGAGATGAGTGGGGGATGTTTACCCAGCCACAGGGAAGAGATGGGTGGGGGATGTTTACCCAGCCACAGGGAAGAGATGAGTGGGGGATGTTTACCCAGCCACAGGGAAGAGATGAGTGGGGGATGTTTACCCAGCCACAGGGAAGAGATGAGTGGGGGGATGTTTACCCAGCCACAGGGAAGAGATGGGTGGGGGATGTTTACCCAGCCACAGGGAAGAGATGGCAGGGGGGATGTTTACCCAGCCACAGGGAAGAGATGGGTGGGGGATGTTTACCCAGCCACAGGGAAGAGATGGGTGGGGGGATGTTTACCCAGCCACAGGGTAGAGATGGGTGGGGGATGTTTACCCAGCCACAGGGAAGAGATGAGTGGGGGGATGTTTACCCAGCCACAGGAAAGAGATGGGAGGGGGATGTTTACCCAGCCACAGGGAAGAGATGAGTGGGGGGATGTTTACCCCGGATGGGTGGGGGATGTTTACCCAGCCACAGGGAAGAGATGGGAGGGGGATGTTTACCCAGCCACAGGGTAGAGATGGGTGGGGGATGTTTACCCAGCCACAGGGTAGAGATGGCAGGGGGGATGTTTACCCAGCCACAGGGAAGAGATGAGTGGGGGGATGTTTACCCAGCCACAGGAAAGAGATGGCAGGGGGGATGTTTACCCAGCCACAGGGAAGAGATGGCAGGGGGGATGTTTACCCAGGCAAGAGATGGGTGGGGGATGTTTACCCAGCCACAGGGAAGAGATGGGTGGGGGATGTTTTACCCAGCCACAGGGAAGAGATGGGTCGGGGGATGTTTACCCCAGCCACAGGGAAGAGATGGGTGGGGGGATGTTTACCCAGCCACAGGGAAGAGATGGGTGGGGGATGTTTACCCCAGCCACAGGGAAGAGATGGGTGGGGGGATGTTTACCCAGCCACAGGGAAGAGATGGGTGGGAGGATGTTTACCCAGCCACAGGGAAGAGATGGGTGGGGGATGTTTACCCAGCCACAGGGAAGAGATGGGTGGGGGGATGTTTACCCAGCCACAGGGAAGAGATGGGTGGGAGGGTGTTTACCCAGCTACAGGGAAGATATGGGTGGGAGGGTGTTTACCCAGCCACAGGGAAGAGATGAGTGGGGGGATGTTTACCCAGCCACAGGGTAGAGATGGGTGGGGGATGTTTACCCAGCCACAGGGAAGAGATGGGTGGGGGGATGTTTACCCAGCCACAGGGAAGAGATGGGTGGGAGGGTGTTTACCCAGCCACAGGGAAGAGATGGGTGGGGGATGTTTACCCAGCCACAGGGAAGAGATGGGTGGGGGGGATGTTTACCCAGCCACAGGGAAGAGATGGGTGGGGGGATGTTTACCCAGCCACAGGGAAGAGATGGGTGGGAGGGTGTTTACCCAGCTACAGGGAAGATATGGGTGGGAGGGTGTTTACCCAGCCACAGGGAAGAGATGAGTGGGGGGATGTTTACCCAGCCACAGGTAGAGATGGGTGGGGGATGTTTACCCAGCCACAGGGAAGAGATGGGTGGGGGGATGTTTACCCAGCCACAGGGAAGAGATGGGTGGGAGGTGTTTACCCAGCCACAGGGAAGAGATGGGTGGGGGATGTTTACCCAGCCACAGGGGAAGAGATGGGTGGGGGGATGTTTACCCAGCCACAGGGAGGAAGAGATGGGTGGGGGGATGTTTACCCAGCCACAGGGTAGAGATGGGTGGGGGATGTTTACCCAGCTACAGGGAAGAGATGGGTGGGAGGGTGTTTACCCAGCCACAGGGAAGAGATGGGTGGGGGATGTTTACCCAGCCACAGGGAAGAGATGGGTGGGGGATGTGTACCCAGCCACAGGGAAGAGATGGGTGGGGGGATGTTTACCCAGCCACAGGGAAGAGATGGGTGGGGGGCGGTCTGGTGTCGGGGTGGATCAGTATGTGGAGTGGTAGAGTCTACCGGCTGGTGGCAGTGGTCTGTAACTGTAGAGGATTTAGTACACCAGTCTCCTATCATTTACAGTGAGGGAAAAAGTATTTGATCCCCTGCTGATTTTGTACGTTTGCCCACTGACAAAGAAATGATCAGTCTATAATTTTAATGGTAGGTTTATTTGAGCAGTGAGAGACAGAATAACAACAACAAAATCCAGAAAAAATGTTATAAATTGATTTGCATTTTAATGAGGGAAATAAGTATTTGACCCCCTCTCAATCAGAAAGATTTCTGGCTCCCAGGTGTCTTTTATACAGGTAACGAGCTGAGATTAGGAGCACACTCTTAAAGGGAGTGCTCCTAATCTCAGTTTGTTACCTGTATAAAAGACACCTGTCCACAGAAGCAATCAATCAATCAGATTCCAAACTCTCCACCATGGCCAAGACCAAAGAGCTCTCCAAGGATATCAGGGACAAGATTGTAGACCTACACAAGGCTGGAATGGGCTACAAGACCATCGCCAAGCAGCTTGGTGAGAAGGTGACAACAGTTGGTGCGATTATTCGCAAATGGAAGAAACACAAAATAACTGTCAATCTCCCTCGGCCTGGGGCTCCATGCAAGATCTCAACTCGTGGAGTTGCAATGATCATGAGAACGGTGAGGAATCAGCCAAGAACTACACGGGAGGATCTTGTCAATGATCTCAAGGCAGCTGGGACCATAGTCACCAAGAAAACAATTGGTAACACACTACGCTGTGAAGGACTGAAATCCTGCAGCGCCCGCAAGGTCCCCCTGCTCAAGAAAGCACATATACAGGCCCATCTGAAGCTTGCCAAAGAACATCTGAATGATTCAGAGGAGAACTGGGTGAAAGTGTTGTGGTCAGATGAGACCAAAATCGAGCTCTTTGGCATCAACTCAACTCGCCGTGTTTGGAGGAGGAGGAATGCTGCCTATGACCCCAAGAACACCATCCCCACCGTCAAACATGGAGGTGGAAACATTATGCTTTGGGGGTGTTTTTCTGCTAAGGGGACAGGACAACTTCACCGCATCAAAGGCACGATGGACGGGGCCATGTACCGTCAAATATTGGGTGAGAACCTCCTTCCCTCAGCCAGGGCATTGAAAATGGGTTGTGGATGGGTATTCCAGCATGACAATGACCCAAAACACACCCAAAGAAGCACATTCAGGTCCTGGAGTGGCCTAGCCAGTCTCAAGACCTTAATCCCATAGAAAATCTGTGGAGGGAGCTGAAGGTTCGAGTTGCCAAACGTCAGCCTCAAAACCTTAATGACTTGGAGAAGATCTGCAAAGAGGAGTGGAACAAAATCCCTCCTGAGATGTGTGCAAACCTGGTGGCCAACTACAAGAAACGTCTGACCTCTGTGATTGCCAACAAGGGTTTTGCCACTAAGTACTAAGTCATGTTTTGCAGAGGGGTCAAATACTTATTTTCCTCATTAAAATGCAAATCAATTTATAACATGTTTGACATGCGTTTTTCTGGATTTCTTTGTTGTTATTCTGTCTCTCACTGTTCAAATAAACCTACCATTAAAAGTATAGACTGATCATGTCTTTGTCAGTGGGCAAACGTACAAAATCAGCAGGGGATCAAATACTTTTTAAAAACATATAACACTAGCCCCAGGTCTGATCAGCTATATAAGGAGTGGAGGCGCAGTAGTTTCGTACCTCCTCTGCGTTAGCGATGCACATGACGAACAGCTTGGCAGGGAAAGGGAACGGCAGAGGAAACTTCTTATCCTCCGGTCGTCCTTTCAGAGTCTGTAGGGAGTGTCTCAGAGAGCCTTTACCGATCCCCAGAGACCCATCTGTTACCAACACCACCTGTAGGCCACCAGATCAATAATCAATCTAATAGTCTGTAGGGAGTGGAGTGTCTCAGAGAGCACCACATGGAGGCCACAAGGAGAACTGCAACAATATTCACCAACATCTGGGTGGAAGTTTACCTGCGTTTAACATTTGAGTTATTTAGCAGACGCTCTTATCCTGAGCAATTTAGAGTTAGTGCATTCATCTTACGGTAGCTATGACAACGACAGGTCACAGTCCGTCAGTGCTGTCAGGAATCACTGAGACCAGGAAAATATAGGATTATCGAGATAAATTAACCAGGGTGTTACAACTCCTAGGTGTATATCTCCCTGTAAACTATGGTGTCAATAATGAGTTCAGAAATGGTTTTTTGCCTCAGTAAACGTTGACTATTATTTGACGATGCACATCGAAGATGTAAAAAAGGCTTTGTTAATACATTTACATTTACATTTTAGTCATTTATCAGACGCTCTTATCCAGAGCGACTTACAGGAGCAATTAGGGTTAAGTGCCTTGCTCAAGGGCACATCGACAGATTTTTCACCTAGTCGGCTCGGGGATTAGAACCAGCGACCTTTCGGTTACTGGCACAACGCTCTTAACCACTAAGCTACCTGCCGCCCATACATTAGATTCATTGGTTTGATAAAGTACCCGTGTGGGACAGTTTACTACTGGATAGAGTATGGTACTATCACGGCTTGATAAAGTACCCGTGTGGGACAGTTTACTACTGGATAGAGTATGGTACTATCACGGCTTGATAAAGTACCCGTGTGGGACAGTTTACTACTGGATAGAGTATGGTACTATCACGGCTTGATAAAGTACCCGTGTGGGACAGTTTACTACTGGATAGAGTATGGTACTATCACGGCTTGATAAAGTACCCGTGTGGGACAGTTTACTACTGGATAGAGTATGGTACTATCACGGCTTGATAAAGTACCCGTGTGGGACAGTTTACTACTGAATAGAGTATGGTACTATCACGGCTTGATAAAGTACCCGTGTGGGACAGTTTACTACTGGATAGAGTATGGTACTATCACGGCTTGATAAAGTACCCGTGTGGGACAGTTTACTACTGGATAGAGTATGGTACTATCACGGCTTGATAAAGTACCCGTGTGGGACAGTTTACTACTGGATAGAGTATGGTACTATCACGGCTTGATAAAGTACCCGTGTGGGACAGTTTACTACTGGATAGAGTATGGTACTATCACGGCTTGATAAAGTACCCGTGTGGGACAGTTTACTACTGGATAGAGTATGGTACTATCACGGCTTGATAAAGTACCCGTGTGGGACAGTTTACTACTGGATAGAGTATGGTACTATCACGGCTTGATAAAGTACCCGTGTGGGACAGTTTACTACTGGATAGAGTATGGTACTATCACGGCTTGATAAAGTACCCGTGTGGGACAGTTTACTACTGGATAGAGTATGGTACTATCACGGCTTGATAAAGTACCCGTGTGGGACAGTTTACTACTGGATAGAGTATGGTACTATCACGGCTTGATAAAGTACCCGTGTGGGACAGTTTACTACTGGATAGAGTATGGTACTATCACGGCTTGATAAAGTACCCGTGTGGGACAGTTTACTACTGGATAGAGTATGGTACTATCACGGCTTGATAAAGTACCCGTGTGGGACAGTTTACTACTGGATAGAGTATGGTACTATCACGGCTTGATAAAGTACCTGTGTGGAACAGTTTACTACTGGATAGAGTATGGTACTATCACGGCTTGATAAAGTACCCGTGTGGGACAGTTTACTACTGGATAGAGTATGGTACTATCACGGCTTGATAAAGTACCCGTGTGGGACAGTTTACTACTGGATAGAGTATGGTACTATCACGGCTTGATAAAGTACCTGTGTGGGACAGGCGTGCCCCCACTCCTGCTGCACCACGTTGCTGACTCCATGCAGCGCTGACTCCAGACACGTCTTGTCATAGTCCTCCAGGTTGCTCAGGGCTTCCTGCACCGCACAGCAGAGGGAAGGACACAATTAACAAAAGAATCAGATCTGGTGTAACCAATATGTCTACAGTTCCTCTAGCCAATCAGAGAGCAAGTAGAGCTACTACCATATTGCCTCCAAGCCCTGGTGTTAGCCAGACCTGTGTACCTGTTGGGTGTTCTACTCCCTGGTGTTAGCCAGACCTGTGTACCTGTTGGGTGTTCTACTCCCTGGTGTTAGCCAGACCTGTGTACCTGTTGGGTGTTCTACTCCCTGGTGTTAGCCAGACCTGTGTACCTGTTGGGTGTTCTACTCCCTGGTGTTAGCCAGACCTGTGTACCTGTTGGGTGTTCTACTCCCTGGTGTTATCCAGACCTGTGTACCTGTTGGGTGTTCTACTCCCTGGTGTTAGCCAGACCTGTGTACCTGTTGGGTGTTCTACTCCCTGGTGTTAGCCAGACCTGTGTACCTGTTGGGTGTTCTACTCCCTGGTGTTAGCCAGACCTGTGTACCTGTTGGGTGTTCTACTCCCTGGTGTTAGCCAGACCTGTGGTACCTGTTGGGTGTTCTACTCCCTGGTGTTAGCCAGACCTGTGTACCTGTTGGGTGTTCTAGTCCCTGGTGTTAGCCAGACCTGTGTACCTGTTGGGTGTTCTACTCCCTGGTGTTAGCCAGACCTGTTGTACCTGTTGGGTGTTCTACTCCCTGGTGTTAGCCAGACCTGTGTACCTGTTGGGTGTTCTACTCCCTGGTGTTAGCCAGACCTGTGTACCTGTTGGGTGTTCTACTCCCTGGTGTTAGCCAGACCTGTGTACCTGTTGGGGTGTTCTAGTCCCTGGTGTTAGCCAGACCTGTGTACCTGTTGGGTGTTCTACTCCCTGGTGTTAGCCAGACCTGTGTACCTGTTGGGTGTTCTACTCCCTGGTGTTAGCCAGACCTGTGTACCTGTTGGGTGTTCTACTCCCTGGTGTTAGCCAGACCTGTGTACCTGTTGGGTGTTCTACTCCCTGGTGTTAGCCAGACCTGTGTACCTGTTGGGTGTTCTACTCCCTGGTGTTAGCCAGACCTGTGTACCTGTTGGGTGTTCTACTCCCTGGTGTTAGCCAGACCTGGGTACCTGTAGGATGTTGTAGTCCCTGGTGAAAGGCACCAGTTGCTCCCACAGGGAAGAGAAGGCCACAAGAGAGGTGAATTCCAGTCGGTAGTTCGTAGCCATGTGTTCAAACAGCATGGTGAGTCCTGCCACAGCTAGGTTCTTCCTCTGTAACTCCTCCGAGCACGGCTCCAGAGAGACCGGCCGCGTCATGGACAGAGACGCGTCCATTAGGACCACCGTCGGCATGGTGATGGGGTTTCCACTAAAGCAGAACGAGTTTAACGGAGCCTCCACAGTCTCTCAGTGTGTGAATACAACACAGTCTTGAATGCAAACCAGAAAGCTGCCTCTGGAAATATGGAAACTTGTGTTAATCCAACACAGCTAGGGGTGTCAATCAGTATCCTGCTTACATTTGAATTAAAGTTTCTTGGTGTGTCTTGTTTATCAACCGGCTTCTGACATAAGCAAATAATATACACTACCGGTCAAAAGTTTTCAAACACCTACTCATTCAAGGGTTTTTCTTTATTTTTTACTATTTTCTACATTGTAGAATAATAGTGAAGACATCAAAACTATGACATAACACATTTGGAATCATGTAGTAACCAGAAAAAGTGTTAAACAAATCAAATTATATTTTATATAGCCACGCTTCTAATAGCCACCCTTTGCCTTGATGACAGCTTTGCACACATTTGAAGAATCTCAAATATAAAATATATTTTGATTTGTTTGAACACTTTTTTGGTTACTACATGATTCCATATGTGTTATTTCATAGTTTTGATGTCTTCACTATTATTCTACAATGTAGAAAATAGTAAAAATAAAGACAAACCCTTGAGTGAGTAGGTGTGTCCAAACTTTTGACCGGTAATGTATGCCAGGAATAGAACAGTCTCACTGAAAGACTAAGACATATTGAGCGGTGTATTTATTCCACCGACTCTGTTGAAAAACATTTCTTAAACAGAAGCAACCGGAACGAAACGGGGATAAACATACCTGAATTTGTCCAATAGAAACTCTAATTTGCAACTGTTTGAACTAATTATTGATTACACCCTAGATCAGCTAGATGCAGGCAAGTGTGTGCAAGGCGGTATTGAATGTGTCACTGTCTGTCACCTTGATTACTCAGAATTCTCTCGACCTGTGCACCAATATGCTGTAATAGAAAGAAAGCCATGCTCATAAAAAAAGACTAATCCTCCCTCATTTTAAACGGCATCGACCGCCGCTGTCTGTCATCCCAGACTGAGAAACCATTAGCCCGGCTAAACGGGTCAGGCTGGCTATCTTTTCGATCCTTTCAATAAGGCTAGCTAACGAATCTTGGCAGGGTGATAGCTAGCTTTGAAATTAACCTTTATTTGAGGACAGAGTTTAGCTTGCAAGTAAATAGTATAGAACTATGCATTTTTTATAATTAAAAAAATTATCTCATGAAAACGACAAACAGAAAGACTCATACCCATCAATGTAGAAATCTTCTCGACGGACTTGTACCGTTCACTATACTGTCCGGGCGGAAGCATTCATTTCCTTAATTAGTTCCTAGGGCGAGACGCACTTCGAGACTTTCCAGATTAGAAAACAGACGGTGAGGTTCTGCCAGACACTAGACAATACATTCAACCATTATATCAATGAATAGATTAAATCAAATTAATTCAATTAAATATTAATTATAGAACAACATTTCTCCTTATTTGAATTACCAAATGTCCATTCCAGTACATTTTCATTTTTCTATTTCTCATAGCTCTGTCATATAATCTCCTAAATTAAATGTTTATATAATCAGGGCCTACTTGAGAAAAGTATAAATTAACTAACCATTCATCTATAAATGCATCTTATCTGGCTTCAGTTATTACATAAGGTATATGCTGATCCACCGTGAACACCTCTCCCGCGGTGCGTCCTAAGGGGTGACACTGCCATGAGCGTTACACACCAGCCGGGTGAACCTCTCCACCATCCACCGCCTGTTCCGGTACACCCCTCATCTGGTACCAAAAACACTTTCATCGCAGGTAGGACAGCACTGTACTTACAGATAACTTGCAATACTTTTTAGGACCCTTGTGCGTAATTCTTAAAATGTTTTATGTTAACATGTTGATAATGGATTTGTCATATTATGCATGATAGCAAAAACGATTTTTGAAAATTATACCGAATACTGACCAAAAATATAAACGCAACATGTAAAGTGTTGGTCCCATGTTTCATGAGCTGAAATAAAAGATCTCAGAAATGTTCCATAAGCACAAAAAGCTTATTTCTCTCAAATTTTGTGCACAAATTTGTTTACATCCCTGTTGGTGAGCATTTCTCCTTGCCAAGATAATCCATCCAACTCAAACGTGTCTCAAATGAAGAAGCTGATTAAACAGCGTGATCATTACACAGGTGCACCTTGTGCTGGGGACAATAAAAGGCCACTCTAAAATGGGCAGTTTTGTCACACAACACAATGCCACAGATGTCTCAAATTTTGAGGGAGCGTACAATTGGCATGCTGACTGCAGGAATGTCCAGCAGAGCTGTTGCCAGATAATTGAATGTTCATTTCTCAACCAATATCCGCCTCCAACGTCATTTGAGAGAATTTGGAAGTACGTCCAACCGGCCTCACAACCACAGACCACGTATAACCACTTCAGCCCAGGACCTCCAAATCCGGCCTTTTCACCTGCGGGATCGTCTGAGACCAGCCACCCTGACAGCTGATGAAACTGTGTGTTTGCACAATTTAAGAATTTCTGCAGAAACCTTCAGAAACCGTCTCAGGGAAGCTCTTCTGCGTACACGTCATCCACACCAGGGTCTTGACCAGTTTGGCGTCGTAACTGACTTCAGTGAGCAAATGCTCACCTTCGATGGCCACTGGCACACTGGAGAAGTGTGCTCTTCACGGATGAATGCCGGTTTCAACTGTACCGGGCAGATGGCAGACAGCGTGTATGGGGTTGTGTGGGCGAGAGAATTGCTGGTGTCAACGTTGTGAACAGAGTGCCCCATGGTGGCGGTGGGGTTATGGTATGGGCAGGCATAAGCTACAGACAATGAACACAATTGCATTTTATCGATGGCAATTTGAATGCACAGAGATACCGTGACGAGATCCTGAGGCCCATTGTCGTGCCATTCATCCACCGCCATCACCTCATGTTTCAGCATGATAATGCACGGCCCCATGTTGCAAATGGTGGTCACACCAGATACTGATTTTTCTGATCCACACCCCTACCTTTTTTTTAAAGGTATCTGTGACCAACAGATGCATATCTGTATTCCCAGTCATGTGAAATCCATAGATTAGAGCCTAATGAATTTATTTCAATTGACTGATTTCCTTATATGAACTGAAACTCAGTAAAATCTTTGAAATTGTTGCATGTTGGGTTTATATTTTTGTTCAGTGTAGAATCACGTTTGTTTGAAATTGTCAGTGTAGCCCAAATGCAAAAACACTGTGATATAATACATGATGTTTATAAAAACTGGACCTGTGAACCAGGATGTTTCTCCCATACAGAATCAGACAAACCAGAAACAAATGTTTATTATTCTGGGGGTTTATTCAGAATGTAAAACAGTCTGTAGATCCAGTCGGGCAGATTCCAGGAAAACAAATCTTACAAATTAGTATTAAACTGTGGTAAAAATGATACATATTATATATTCAAAGACATAACAGTGCTCCAACAGTGTAAACAACAACATATTGATACCTATAGTGACGATATGGTGATATCATGGTCAATGTGTATAGTAGTTACATACAGGACTCTCCAACCCTGTTCCTGGAGAGCTACCTACCTTCCTGGAGGTCCTTTTATGATTAGTATTAAAATATTTATCAAAGTAATTTTTGAACCTATTAAGGACTCTATTCAATCCGTATCGCGGAAGTTCAGCGTTACAGCGTGATTTAATTTGAAAGGCAATTTTCCCGCGTTATCGGAGACTGCGTTCACGGTAAACGCTGCATATGTAGCCTCAATGGGAAATGACCTTTACATTTCTATCAGGTAAATCAGCAACACTTCAGCGATCCAGATTGAATAGAGCCATAAATCTCATTGTAATTATGAGTGAAATGACCTTTACATTTCTATCACGCAAATCAGTAACGCTTCAGCCATCCAGATTGAATAGAGCCATAAGTCTCATTGTAATTATGAGTGAAATGACATTGATTTTATAATATCACAGTACTTTTCCTTGCCGGTAAACAAGCAGTGTATTTCTGCTTTCTTTAACAACAGTCTGACATGGTAAACAAGACATTTTGTTGAATAATCCTCAACCTAAAGCCTAAAGCTAGTCAACTGTCATCAAGTGCTGTTTTGTTTTATCCGCTCTTTAGGAAGGAATGTAAGGAATTATTTTAGATTAGAACCATTCTGTTGTGGAATGATGTGTAACTCTTCTCGAACCAGCTCATTCACAATATACAAAATATTCCCTTGTTGGTGATATTGTGACAGTTTCAGAATACAGATACCTTGACATGTAACATATTTCACTGTGACACAGTTCTTCTACCTTCCATCCTAACACTGGAGTATGGATCATGGTCAAACGTAGTGCACTATATAGGACTGATCTACCAACCACGGTGCATCAATAAATAACTACTCAATATTATTTGTACAGTCAGTCAGTCACAATTTACCCATGATACCGCACGTTTTCATGCTCTCACACACATGGCCAATGGATCCTTCATTTTTTAAAATGTGTACTGGTCCTGCCAGAGGGGAGTCAAAGAAAAGCAGTCATGTGAGTTTGCAGAATGTGAAAGTATGACATCATCCTCAGTATGAGCAGTAAGACGGGCACCATACCCGATCATAGTACAGCAGCTGTGTACGTATCACAGTTCAACTGAATGACTAAAAATAAAAAAAAAGGTCCAAATGTTTACTGTAAATTATTACTATAACTGATATTTGTTCACAGTTAATGTAAGTTACTCTTTGGAAAGTGCTAGAATCACATGAGAGACTTTTACATTACACCCGACAACACTCCCATCACAACAGTAAAACACTCCTGACTGTGGTACAGAAAACACACTAAGCTTGAAGCTCACACAACAAAAACAGAAACAAAACATTTACAAGTTAATCAGATACAGATTGTCTTAAAATATATAGAATATATCACATGGTATATTACAAACATTTGAGTCATGTAATAATAGTGAAAATACAGAGGAATAATACCATGTCATACCATGTCATACCATGTCACCATGTCATACCATGTCATAGAATGTCATACCGAGAATACCATGTCATACCATGTGGTCCTATTGTGATACCATGTCATAGAATGCAATACCATGTCATACCGAATCCCGGAGCTGACTAGGTGAAAAGTCTTCCGATGTGCCCTTGAGCAAGGCACTTAACTCTAATTGCTCCTGTAAGTCGCTCTGGATAAGAGCGCCTGCTAAATGACTCAAATGTAAAATGTCCTATTGTAACAGTGTGGAGCGTCTCTGAAAGCTTCTAGTATATTTTCTGTGTATTTGTTACACATTGTGCTTCAGTGTCTGAACATGTCGGGTCCCAATGACTTTCCTCCCCATGCCTGGGGTATCAGGTGGGCTGGCCCTGAGGATTTCACCCCAACAGAGAGGGGACTTTCCTCCCCATGCCTGGGGTATCAGGTGGGCTGGCCCTGAGGATTTCACCCCAACAGAGAGGGGCCAGAGAGAAGGGCTGGTGGTAGGTAAGCAGCAGTCATGTTTTGGGAGGGATGGGATGGATGGAGAGGAGAGAACGTTGGGTAGCAGCCAGGGGGAGGTGAGTAGGGGGTACTTCACAAACTAGGCTGCCCAAAGGTCCTCCAGAGGAGGGGAGGTGAGTAGGGGGTACTTCACAAACTAGGCTGCCCAAAGGTCCTCCAGAGGAGGGGAGGTGAGTAGGGGGTACTTCACAAACTAGGCTGTGAAGTCTTCCGGATGGAGAGGAGAGAACGTGAGGTGGGGAGATCACAGACTAGGCTGTGAAGTCTTCCGGATGGAGAGGAGAGAACGTGAGGTGGGGAGATCACAGACTAGGCTGTGAAGTCTTCCGGATGGAGAGGAGAGAACGTGAGGTGGGGAGATCACAGACTAGGCTGCCCAAAGGTCCTCCTACATTCCATGACCCCTGCTCCTGGTGGCCGGTCACAGTTGTGTGTCAGCTTCACCTGGCTGGGGCTGAGGCGGTCGTACGCAATCTTGTACTCACGATCAAATGCATCTGGAACAGAGAAGCAAGGCAAAGGGTTAGTTTACAATCAGAGATATTATTACTATTACTGATCATGATGTGGTTGGTTAACCTACTTAGCGACCATGATGGTAGAATACAACAGGGTTACCTAGCGACCATGATGGTAGAATACAACAGGGTTACTTAGCGACCATGATGGTAGAATACAACAGGGTTACCTAGCGACCATGATGGTAGAATGCAACAGGGTTACTTAGCGACCATGATGGTAGAATACAACAGGGTTACTTAGCGACCATGATGGTAGAATACAACAGGGTTACTTAGCGACCATGATGGTAGAATGCAACAGGGTTACTTAGCGACCATGATGGTAGAATGCAACAGGGTTACTTAGCGACCATGATGTAGAATGCAACAGGGTTACTTAGCGACCATGATGGTAGAATACAACAGGGTTACTTAGCGACCATGATGGTAGAATACAACAGGGTTACTTAGCGACCATGATGGTAGAATACAACAGGGTTACTTAGCAACCATGATGGATACATAATAAACCCCAGGAAGAGTAGCTGCTGCCTTGGCAGGAACTAATGGGGATCCATAATAAACCCCAGGAAGAGTAGCTGCTGCCTTGGCAGGAACGAATGGGGATCCATAATAAACCTCAGGAAGAGTAGCTGCTGCCTTGGCAGGAACTAATGGGGATCCATAATAAACCCCAGGAAGAGTAGCCGCTGCCTTGGCAGGAACTAATGGGGATCCATAATAAACCCCAGGAAGAGTAGCTGCTGCCTTGGCAGGAACTAATGGGGATCCATAATAAACCCCAGGAAGAGTAGCTGCTGCCTTGGCAGGAACTAATGGGGATCCATAATAAACCCCAGGAAGAGTAGCTGCTGCCTTGGCAGGAACTAATGGGGATCCATAATAAACCTCAGGAAGAGTAGCTGCTGCCTTGGCAGGAACTAATGGGGATCCATAATAAACCCCAGGAAGAGTAGCTGCTGCCTTGGCAGGAACTAATGGGGATCCATAATAAACCCCAGGAAGAGTGGCTGCTGCCTTGGCAGGAACTAATGGGGATCCATAATAAACCCCAGGAAGAGTAGCTGCTGCCTTGGCAGGAACTAATGGGGATCCATAATAAACCTCAGGAAGAGTAGCTGCTGCCTTGGCAGGAACTAATGGGGATCCATAATAAACCCCAGGAAGAGTAGCTGCTGCCTTGGCAGGAACTAATGGGGATCCATAATAAACCCCAGGAAGAGTGGCTGCTGCCTTGGCAGGAACTAATGGGGATCCATAATAAACCCCAGGAAGAGTAGCTGCTGCCTTGGCAGGAACTAATGGGGATCCATAATAAACCCCAGGAAGAGTAGCTTCTGCCTTGGCAGGAACTAATGGGGATCCATAATAAACCCCAGGAAGAGTAGCTGCTGCCTTGGCAGGAACTAATGGGGATCCATAATAAACCCCAGGAAGAGTAGCTGCTGCCTTGGCAGGAACTAATGGGGATCCATAATAAACCCCAGGAAGAGTAGCTGCTGCCTTGGCAGGAACTAATGGGGATCCATAATAAACCCCAGGAAGAGTAGCTGCTGCCTTGGCAGGAACTAATGGGGATCCATAATAAACCCCAGGAAGAGTAGCTGCTGCCTTGGCAGGAACTAATGGGGATCCATAATAAACCCCAGGAAGAGTAGCTGCTGCCTTGGCAGGAACTAATGGGGATCCATAATAAACCCCAGGAAGAGTAGCTGCTGCCTTGGCAGGAACTAATGGGGATCCATAATAAACCTCAGGAAGAGTAGCTGCTGCCTTGGCAGGAACTACTGGGGATCCATAATAAATACAAATATGTGAGAAAAACTTCTCAATGTATTTCTCTAAATGTCTATTGTAAATTTGACTGCCCTGAAGTGACATGTTTAGGATGAATTAGAAAGATGACAGATAGCTTCGAAAGTAGAGAGGGAAAGATATGGTTTCAACTCACCGATATTGATGTTGCTCTTGCCCAGAGCGGTCAGCGCCAGGAAGAGGAGATCTCTGTACAGACTCCTGTAGAATAGAAAGAGAAGGGTTTGTGTGTGTGTGTGTGTGTGTGTGTGTGCGTCCAGACAGGACGATTAAGGACGACATTTGACTACTCTTAACCCCGCCACTGACATTAGATTTTGTATATAAATAAAAAAAACGGCCACAAAAAAGCTATTTCCTGCTGCTTTTTTTATTGTAAGAGTGTTGCAGAATCACAAATCCGCTAATGGTTTGTCTTAAAACCTCCCTTTTTAAAAGGTATCCATGAGAAGGTGGACATTATTTATGCAGGAATTAAACTAATCACAAGCTGCAGTATTCTAAACTTGTTTTTTTAAATATAACTGCAAAGTCACTATTTTTTTTTAATGTTACAGGTTTGAAGTTTTATACCTCTGTCTGCTGAAGCCCAGCTCTGAACCTAGCAGCTGCAGGATCTGACTGATAGGCTGGTAGACATCACTCTTCTGGAGGTTCTTCACTATACCCTGTAGGACCTCAGCAGAGAAGAGGTGGTCCTGGGGCTGGCCCTCCTCATACACTGTTCCACTGGCTGAGGGGTTAGAGCCTAGAGAGAGACAGGGGCACAGAGTTAGCACCTAGACAGAGACAGGGGCACAGAGTTAGCACCTAGACAGGGGCAGAGAGTTAGCACATAGACAGGGGCAGGGGCAGAGAGTTAGCACCTAGACAGAGACAGGGGCACAGAGTTAGCACCTAGACAGGGGCAGAGAGTTAGCACCTAGACAGGGGCAGAGAGTTAGCACCTAGACAGGGGCAGAGAGTTAGCACCTAGACAGGGACAGAGAGTTAGCACCTAGACAGAGACAGGGACAGAGAGTTAGCACATAGACAGGGACAGAGAGTTAGCACCTAGACAGAGACAGGGACAGAGAGTTAGCACCTAGACAGAGACAGAGAGTTAGCACCTAGACAGGGACAGAGAGTTAGCACCTAGACAGAGACAGAGAGTTAGCACCTAGACAGGGACAGAGAGTTAGCACCTAGACAGAGACAGAGAGTTAGCACATAGACAGGGACAGAGAGTTAGCACCTAGACAGGGGCAGAGAGTTAGCACATAGACAGGGGCAGAGAGTTAGCACCTAGACAGGGGCAGAGAGTTAGCACCTAGACAGAGACAGAGAGTTAGCACATAGACAGGGGCACAGAGTTAGCACATAGACAGGGACAGGGGCAGAGAGTTAGCACCTAGACAGAGACAGAGAGTTAGCACCTAGACAGAGACAGAGAGTTAGCACCTAGACAGAGACAGAGAGTTAGCACCTAGACAGGGACAGAGAGTTAGCACCTAGACAGAGACAGAGAGTTAGCACCTAGACAGAGACAGAGAGTTAGCACCTAGACAGAGACAGAGAGTTAGCACCTAGACAGAGACAGAGAGTTAGCACCTAGACAGAGACAGAGAGTTAGCACATAGACAGGGACAGAGAGTTAGCACCTAGACAGGGGCAGAGAGTTAGCACATAGACAGGGACAGAGAGTTAGCACCTAGACAGAGACAGAGAGTTAGCACCTAGACAGGGACAGAGAGTTAGCACCTAGACAGGGGCAGAGAGTTAGCACATAGACAGGGGCAGAGAGTTAGCACCTAGACAGGGGCAGAGAGTTAGCACATAGACAGGGACAGGGGCAGAGAGTTAGCACATAGACAGGGACAGGGACAGAGAGTTAGCACATAGACAGGGACAGGGGCAGAGAGTTAGCACATAGACAGGGACAGAGAGTTAGCACCTAGACAGAGACAGAGAGTTAGCACCTAGACAGGGACAGAGAGTTAGCACCTAGACAGGGGCAGAGAGTTAGCACATAGACAGAGACAGGGGCAGAGAGTTAGCACCTAGACAGAGACAGAGAGTTAGCACCTAGACAGGGACAGGGGCACAGAGTTAGCACCTAGACAGGGGCAGAGAGTTAGCACATAGACAGGGGCAGAGAGTTAGCACATAGACAGGGACAGAGAGTTAGCACCTAGACAGGGGCAGAGAGTTAGCACATAGACAGGGGCAGAGAGTTAGCACCTAGACAGGGGCAGAGAGTTAGCACATAGACAGGGGCAGAGAGTTAGCACCTAGACAGGGGCAGAGAGTTAGCACATAGACAGGGGCAGAGAGTTAGCACCTAGACAGGGGCAGAGAGTTAGCACCTAGACAGGGGCAGAGAGTTAGCACATAGACAGAGACAGAGAGTTAGCACCTACACAGAGACAGGGGCAGAGAGTTAGCACCTAGACAGGGGCACAGAGTTAGCACATAGACAGGGACAGAGAGTTAGCACCTAGACAGAGACAGGGACAGAGAGTTAGCACCTAGACAGAGACAGAGAGTTAGCACCTACACAGAGACAGGGGCAGAGAGTTAGCTCCTAGACAGAGACAGAGAGTTAGCACCTACACAGAGACAGGGGCAGAGAGTTAGCTCCTAGACAGAGACAGAGAGTTAGCACCTACACAGAGACAGGGGCAGAGAGTTAGCACCTAGACAGAGACAGGGACAGAGAGTTAGCACCTAGACAGAGACAGAGAGTTAGCACCTAGACAGAGACAGGGACAGAGAGTTAGCACCTAGACAGAGACAGGGACAGAGAGTTAGCACCTAGACAGAGACAGAGAGTTAGCACCTAGACAGAGACAGAGACAGAGAGTTAGCACCTAGACAGAGACAGGGACAGAGAGTTAGCACCTAGACAGAGACAGGGGCAGAGAGTTAGCACCTAGACAGAGACAGGGACAGAGAGTTAGCACCTAGACAGAGACAGAGAGTTAGCACCTAGACAGGGACAGAGAGTTAGCACCTAGACAGAGACAGGGACAGAGAGTTAGCACCTAGACAGAGACAGGGACAGAGAGTTAGCACCTAGACAGAGACAGAGAGTTAGCACCTAGACAGAGACAGAGACAGAGAGTTAGCACCTAGACAGAGACAGGGACAGAGAGTTAGCACCTAGACAGAGACAGGGGCAGAGAGTTAGCACCTAGACAGAGACAGGGACAGAGAGTTAGCACCTAGACAGAGACACAGAAGTCGAGACAAATTTGACCCCAATAACTACCATGGGATATGCATCAACAGCATCCTTGGGAAAATCCTCTGCATTATCATTAACAGCAGACTAGTTCATTTCCTCAGTGAAAACAATGTACTGAGCAAATGTCAAATTGTCTTTTTACCAAATTACCGTACGACAGACCACGTATTCACCCTGCACACCCTAATTGACAAAGGCAAAGTCTTCTCATGCTTTGTTGATTTCAAAAAAGCTTTTGACTCAATTTGGCATGAGGGTCTGCTATACAAATTGATGGAAAGTGGTGTTGGGGGAAAAACATACAACATTATAAAATCCATGTACACAAACAACAAGTGTGCGGTTAAAATTGGCAAAAAACACACAGATTTCTTTCCACAGGGCCGTGGGGTGAGACAGGGATGCAGCTTAAGCCCCACCCTCTTCAACATATATATCAACGAATTGGCGAGGGCACTAGAACAGTCTGCAGCACCCGGCCTCACCCTACTAGAATCTGAAGTCAAATGTCTACTGTTTGCTGATGATCTGGTGCTTCTGTCACCAACCAAGGAGGGCCTACAGCAGCACCTAGATCTTCTGCACAGATTCTGTCAGACCTGGGCCCTGACAGTAAATCTCAGTTTAACAAAAATAATGGTGTTCCAAAAAAGGTCCAGTTGCCAGGACCACAAATACTAATTCCATCTAGACACCGTTGCCCTAGAGCACACAAAAAACTATACATACCTCGGCCTAAACATCAGTGCCACAGGTAACTTCCACAAAGCTGTGAACGATCTGAGAGACAAGGCAAGAAGGGCCTTCTATGCCATCAAAAGGAACATAAAATTCGACATACCAATTAGGATCTGGCAAAAAATACTTGAATCAGTTATAGAACCCATTGCTCTTTATGGTTGTGAGGTCTGGGGTCCGCTCACCAACCAAGAATTCACAAAATGGGACAAACACCAAATTGAGACTCTGCATGCAGAATTCTGCAAAAAAATATCCTCTGTGTACGAAAAACACAAAATAAAATGCATGCAGAGCAGAAATCGGCCGATACCCGCTAATGATCAAAATCCAGAAAAGAGACGTTAAATTCTATAACCACTTAAAAGGAAGCGATTCCCAAACCTTCCATAACAATGCCATCACCTACAGAGAGATGAACCTGGAGAAGAGTCCCCTAAGTAAGCTGGTCCTGGGGCTCTGTTCACAAACACAAACAGACCCCACAGAGCCCCAGGACAGCAACACAATTAGACCCAACCACATTTTATTTCGCCTTTATTTAACCAGGTAAGCCAGTTGAGAACAAGTTCTCATTTACAACTGCGACCTGGCCAAGATAAAAACAACAGTGCGATAAAAACAACAACACAGAGTTACATATGGGGTAAAACAAAACATAAAGAATACCTGACCACTGTGACTGACTCAAACTTAAGGAAAGCTTTGACTATGTACAGACTCAGTGAGCATAGCTGTCACGGAATCAGCCGAGGCTGCTCCTCCTCCTTGCTCGGGCAGGCTTCGGCGTTCGTCATCCCCGGAGTACTAGCTGCCACCGATCTATGTTTCTGTGTTTGACTTGTTTTGTCTTGATTGTGTACACCTGTTTCCTATTATGTTGTATTGTATTCCTTATTTAACCCTCTGTCGTTCATTGTGCGTTGTGTGTGATTGTTCTCGTCATTTAAACTCATCGCGCCATTGAAAAAGGCCTCCTTCAATGATCAACACTTCAGGCTGAAGAGGAAGTTTCACAGATCTGATACAGGAACAGGAGGTCAACTACACACCGTGTGTCCTATCATTACTACGTAGTGATTAGACTGGAGGGAACAGCAATGTACTGAAGAGTAGGGAGGCCCATTATTGACAGAGAGCAGTGAGGTCATCACATTTGTAAAAAGTGCTTTGTACTTTGGAAAATCACTTTATGAATCCGATCAATTCTGATCACTTACAGTGTAAAGTGCTTTGAACTTTGGAAAATCACTTTATGAATCCGATCAATTCTGATCACTTACAGTGTAAAGTGCTTTGAACTTTGGAAAATCACTTTATGAATCCGATCAATTCTGATGACTTACAGTGTGTGTGCCAGAGCATGTAGAGGGGTTGGACCGGGTCCTGGTGTAGGTCCAGGTTATCCCACAGGATCCGGACCAGGACATGTTTACTGTCCTCTGAAGACACACTCTGGGCTGGGACCTGACAGGAGCGAGAGCATGTGAGAACATCATTAGAAAGACAATACAAATCACTGTCTCTTCCGATCACGTTCAACGACAACTGCTCCAATCTGTCTTGAAGGACCATGTAAAAAAAAAAAAAAAAAAAAAAACTAATATGTGTTCTGTAAATCACCCTAGGTCCAACAACAATCGCCCTAGGTCCCTGTTTAAAGGGACAACGTATACATCATTGAAGGGTACGTTCAGTGCAGTGTAGTATACCTGCAGTAGATGTCCCTGACTGCAGTGCTGAGAGGTCAGGATGAGACCAGGCAGGTGAGAGGGGAGATCAAGTCTACGGTAGTACCACACCAGGTTCCAGAACACGATGGGGTGCTGGTCCACGATGCTGGGAGAACTGATCACCTGGTCCCCCTCGTTACACAACAGAGACTCTAGCTCCTTCCACAGAACCAAGGGACTCAGGTAGGGGACCGTCACTGGGGCTGGACAACTACTCACTGGGGAGGAGGCAGGGGATGGGGGAGAGGTCGGAGATGGGGCTGAGGTCGGAGATGGGGCTGAGGTCGGAGATGGGGCTGAGGTCGGAGATGGGGCTGAGGTCGGAGATGGGGCTGAGGTCGGAGATGGGGCTGAGGTCGGAGATGGGGCTGAGGTCGGAGATGGGGCTGAGGTCGGAGATGGGGCTGAGGTCGGAGATGGGGCTGAGGTCGGAGATGGGGCTGAGGTCGGAGATGGGGCTGAGGTCGGAGATGGGGCTGAGGTCGGAGATGGGGCTGGGCCTGGGACAGGGTCCTGTGGACACCCAGCTACACCCTCAGAGTCCTGTTGCTCCTCTGCTGGAGTTGTGGTTGACTGGGGTGTCAGGGCGCCAGCTGCAGAGACTGTCTCAGGGTTGACTGTCTCAGGGTTGACTGTCTCAGGGTTGACTGTCTCAGGGTTGACTGAAACAGGGTTGACTGTCTCAGGGTTGACGGTCTCAGGGTTGACTGAAACAGCCGTGTCCTCTCCTACAGGTGGGTGACTCTCGTCACTGGTCCTAATGAGACAAACATATAGTGGATCTGAGTTGTGTGTATCAGTGGTGGAAAGTACTTGAGTAAAAAATACTTTAAAAGTACTACTTACAGTGAGGGAAAAAAGTATTTGATCCCCTGCTGATTTTGTACGTTTGCCCACTGACAAAGACATGATCAGTCTATAATTTTAATGGTAGGTTTATTTGAACAGTGAGAGACAGAATAGCAACAGAAAAATCCAGAAAAACGCATGTCAAAAATGTTATAAATTGATTTGCATTTTAATGAGGGAAATAAGTATTTGACCCCTCTGCAAAACATGACTTAGTACTTGGTGGCAAAACCCTTGTTGGCAATCACAGAGGTCAGACTTTTCTTGTAGTTGGCCACCAGGTTTTCACACATCTCAGGAGGGATTTTGTCCTACTTCTCTTTGCAGATCTTCTCCAAGTCATTAAGGTTTCGAGCCTGACGTTTGGCAACTCGAAACTTCAGCTCCCTCCACAGATTTTCTATGGGATTAAGGTCTGGAGACTGGCTAGGCCACTCCAGGACCTTAATGTGCTTCTTCTTGAGCCACTCCTTTGTTGCCTTGGCCGTGTGGTTTGGGTCATTGTCATGCTGGAATACCCATCCATGACCCATTTTCAATGCCCTGGCTGAGGGAAGGAGGTTCTCACCCAAGATTTGACGGTACATGGCCCCGTCCATCGTCCCTTTGATGCAGTGAAGTTGTCCTGCCCCTTAGCAGAAAAACACCCCCAAAGCATAATGTTTCCACCTCCATGTTTGACGGTGGGGATGGTGTTCTTTGGGTCATAGGCAGCATTCCTCCTCCTCCAAACACGGCGAGTTGAGTTGATGCCAAAGAGCTCCATTTTGGTCTCATCTGACCACAACACTTTCACCCAATTCTCCTCTGAATCATTCAGATGTTCATTGGCAAACTTCAGATGGGCCTGTATATGTGCTTTCTTGAGCAGGGTGACCTTGCGGGCGCTGCAGGATTTCAGTCCTTCACAGCGTAGTGTGTTACCAATTGTTTTCTTGGTGACTATGGTCCCAGCTGCCTTGAGATCATTGACAAGATCCTCCCGTGTAGTTCTGGGTTGATTCCTCACCATTCTCATGATCATTGCAACTCCACGAGGTGAGATCTTGCATGGAGCCCCAGGCCGAGGGAGATTGACAGTTATTTTGTGTTTCTTCCATTTGCGAATAATCGCACCAACTGTTGTCACCTTCTCACCAAGCTGCTTGGCGATGGTCTTGTAGCCCATTCCAGCCTTGTGTAGGTCTACAATCTTGTCCCTGACATCCTTGGAGAGCTCTTTGGTCTTGGCCATGGTGGAGAGTTTGGAATCTGATTGATTGATTGCTTCTGTGGACAGGTGTCTTTTATACAGGTAACAAACTGAGATTAGGAGCACTCCCTTTAAGAGTGTGCTCCTAATCTCAGCTCGTTACCTGTATAAAAGACACCTGGGAGCCAGAAATCTTTCTGATTGAGAGGGGGTCAAATACTTATTTCCCTCATTAAAATGCAAATCAATTTATAAAAATTTTTACATGCGTTTTTCTGGATTTTTTGTTGTTGTTATTCTGTCTCTCACTGTTCAAATAAATCTACCATTAAAATTATAGACTGATCATTTCTTTGTCAGTGGGCAAACGTACAAAATCAGCAGGGGATCAAATACTTTTTTCCCTCACTGTAGGTAGTTATTTTGGGTATCTGTACTTTACTATTTATATTTTTGACAACTTTTACTTCACTACATTCCTAAAGAAAATAATGTACTTCTTACTCCATACATTTTCCTTGACACACAAAAGTACTTGTTACATTTAGAATGCTTACATTTAGAATTATGGTCCAATTCACGCACCTATCAATTTAACGCGTTGTCGTCCCTACTGCCTCTGATCTGGCGGACTCACTAAACACAAATACTGCGTTTTTAAATTATGTCGGAGTGATGGAGCGTGCCCGTCTGTCCATAAAAAAATACAAAAATCGTGTCGTCTGGTTTGTTTAAGGAATTTGATATATAGCATTTACTTTTATTAAAGTATGACAATTTAGTACTTTTTCCACCACTACATTTAAAACCAGATACTTTACTAGTATTATATTTTAGTAGTATACTAAAGTCTCTGGAGGTAATAGTAGCCGTTCTATGGCTCCTGACCAATTGCGTTATTTTGTGTATTATTTTGCGCTGATCTTAACATTATTTGTACGTAATGTTTCCGCCATCATTTACTATGACCGAAAAGAGCTTCTGGACATCTGAACAGCCATCATTAACCTCCATTTGGACGAGGACTTCTACTTCAATGAGTCGGAGGTGAAAGACATAATGATTATCGCAGACTAGGCCCAAATCCCCGACGCTGGAAGAAGGAGAAGACGGCGCTATAGAAGCCGGCGTGTATCTGACAAGACTACGTCGGAGATAAATCGCCTCTACCCTCCGTTCTATTGGCCAACGTGCAATCACTGGAGAATAAACTGGATGAGCTTTGTTCGAGACGATCCTATCAACGTGATCTGAAGAACTGTAATGTTTCTCCGAGTCGTGGCTGAACAAGGACATGGTAAATATAAATCTAGCTGGTTTTTCTATACATCGGCAGGACAGAACGGCTGCGTCGGGGGAAGCACAGGGGAGGAGGTGTCTCTTTGTTAACAACAGCTGGTGCGCCATCTCTAATATTAAGGAAGTCTCGAGGTTCTGCTCGCCTGAGTTAGACTACCTCACGATAAGCTGTAGACCACACTATCTACCAAGAGAGTTTCCATCTATATTTTTCGTAGCTGTCTGTTTACCACCACAAACCGATACAGCACTCAACGAGCTGTATATGGCCGTTAGCAAACAAGAAAACGCTCACCCAGAGGCGGCGCTCCTAGTGGCCAGTGACTTTAATGCAAGAAGACTTAAATCCGTTTGACCTAATTTGTGTATTGTACAGTATATAGCCAAGTTATCGTTACTCATTGTGGATGTGTTATTACTTATCAGTACTGGTATCCTGTGTATTGTACAGTATATAGCCAAGTTATCGTTACTCATTGTGGATGTATTCCTTGTGTTCTTTTTATAAAATTATTTCTCTTTGTCTCTCTGCATTGTTGGAAAGGGCCCGTTAGTCAGCATTTCACTGTTAGTCTACAACTGTTGTTTACCAAGCATGTGACAAATATCATTTGATTTATTTTACTGGGTGACTTTTACTTGAGTCATTTTCTATTAAGGTATCTTTACTTTTACTCTAGTATGACAATACAGTACTTTTTCTACCGGGTGGTGTGTGTGTTATTGATCCTCACAACATAGGAAACGTGTGTATGTGTGTGTCGTAGTGTGTGTGTGTCGTAGTGTGTGTGTGTGTCGTAGTGTGTGTGTGTCGTAGTGTGTGTGTGTGTCGTAGTGTGTGTGTCGTAGTGTGTGTGTGTGTCGTAGTGTGTGTATGTTTTATCGTAGTGTGTGTGTGTCGTAGTGTGTGTGTGTGTGTGTGTCGTGGTGTGTGTGTGTGTTTTATCGTAGTGTGTGTGTGTGTGTGTCGTAGTGTGTGTGTGTGTGTTTTATCGTAGTGTGTGTGTGTGTCGTAGTGTGTGTGTGTTTTATCGTTGTGTGTGTGTGTGTGTTTTATCGTAGTGTGTGTGTGTGTGTGTGTGTGTGTCGTAGTGTGTGTGTGTTTTATCGTAGTGTGTGTGTGTGTGTCGTAGTGTGTGTGTGTTTTATCGTAGTGTGTGTGTTTGTGTGTGTTTTATCGTAGTGTGTGTGTGTTTTATCATAGTGTGTGTGTGTGTGTCGTAGTGTGTGTGTGTGTTTTATCGTAGTGTGTGTGTGTGTGTGTGTGTCATAGTGTGTGTGTGTTTTATCGTAGTGTGTGTGTGTGTGTGTGTGTTTTATCGTAGTGTGTGTTTTATCGTAGTGTGTGTGTGTGTGTGTCATAGTGTGTGTGTGTTTTATCGTAGTGTGTGTGTGTGTGTGTTGTAGTGTGTGTGTGTTGTAGTGTGTGTGTGTTTTATCGTAGTGTGTGTGTGTGTGTGTGTGTCGTAGTGTGTGTTATCACCTGTGTCTCAGGTCCCTGATCTCTACATTGAGGAAGGGCAGGAAGAGGTTCCCACAGAAGGGACAGGTGGTGTTGAGGTTAGAGTCATCAGCCGTCCATCCCGCCATGATCTCCTCATCGTACACCAGACAGTCACACGTCTTACAGCGACAGCAGCTGGACATCAACACCTGGAGACATAGACCCAGGAACAGGATTGACTGACTGATTGGAAACAACTAGACAAAGACAACATTAAGTACCAGTAGACATGAGAAACGTGGACCAACACAACCAGGAACTGTAGACATCAGATGAATGTGTTTGTCCTACATGCTTTCAAGTCTGCACATCAAGACTCAGACTCCTGAGTCACTCAACAACTCACAATAGAACCAGGAAGATACTGAGTCGCCATTATCCAAACAGACCACCAGTCATGGACAGACAGAGAGAGAAGACAGACTCACCTCAGTAGTGTAGTGGTGACTGAGGTGGAAGAGGCTATAACAGGCTATAACAGGATATAACAGGCTTATAACAGGCTATATCAGGATATAACAGGCTTATAACAGGCTATAACAGGATATAACAGGCTTATAACAGGCTATAACAGGCTATAACAGGATATAACAGGCTATAACTCTGACCTCAGTAGTGTAGTGGTGACTGGGGTGGAAGAGGCTATAACAGGCTATAACAGGCTATAACTCTGACCTCAGTAGTGTAGTGGTGACTGAGGTGGAAGAGGCTATAACAGGCTATAACAGGCTATAAATCTGACCTCAGTAGTGTAGTGGTGACTGAGGTGGAAGAGGATATAACAGGCTATAACAGGCTATAACTCTGACCTCAGTAGTGTAGTGGTGACTGAGGTGGAAGAGGCTATAACAGGCTATAACTCTGACCTCAGTAGTGTAGAGGTGACTGAGGTGGAAGAGGCTATAACAGGCTATAACAGGCTATAACAGGCTATAACAGGCTATAACAGGCTATAACTCTGACCTCAGTAGTGTAGTGGTGACGGAGGTGGAAGAGGCTATAACAGGCTATAACAGGATATAACAGGCTATAACAGGATATAACAGGCTTATAACAGGCTTATAACAGGCTATAACAGGCTATAACAGGATATAACAGGATATAACAGGCTATAACATGCTATAACAGGATATAACAGGCTATAACAGGCTATAACAGGCTATAACAGGCTATAACAGGCTTATAACAGGCTATAACAGGCTATAACAGGATATAACAGGCTATAACAGGCTTATAACAGGCTATAACAGGATATAACTCTGACCTCAGTAGTGTAGTGGTGACGGAGGTGGAAGAGGCTATAACAGGCTATAACAGGCTATAACAGGCTATAACAGGCTATAACAGGCTATAACAGGCTATAACTCTGACCTCAGTAGTGTAGTGGTGACGGAGGTGGAAGAGGCTATAACAGGCTATAACAGGCTATAACAGGCTATAACAGGCTATAACAGGATATAACAGGATATAACTCTGACCTCAGTAGTGTAGTGGTGACTGAGGTGGAAGAGGCTATAACAGGCTATAACTCTGACCTCAGTAGTGTAGTGGTGACAGAGGTGGAAGCAGCTATAACAGGCTATAACAGGCTATAACAGGCTATAACTCTGACCTCAGTAGTGTAGTGGTGACGGAGGTGGAAGAGGCTATAACTGGCTATAACAGGCTATAACAGGATGTAACTCTGACCTCAGTAGTGTAGTGGTGACTGAGGTGGAAGCAGCTATAACAGGATATAACAGGCTATAACTCTGAACTCAGTAGTGTAGTGGTGACAGAGGTGGAAGCAGCTATAACAGGCTATAACAGGCTATAACAGGCTATAACTCTGACCTCAGTAGTGTAGTGGTGACTGAGGTGGAAGCAGCTATAACAGGCTATAACAGGCTATAACTCTGACCTCAGTAGTGTAGTGGTGACGGAGGTGGAAGAGGCTATAACAGGCTATAACAGGCTTATAACAGGCTATAACAGGCTATAACAGGCTTATAACAGGCTATAACAGGCTATAACAGGCTATAACAGGCTATAACTCTGACCTCAGTAGTGTAGTGGGGACAGAGGTGGAAGCAGCTATAACAGGCTATAACAGGCTATAACAGGCTATAACAGGCTATAACTCTGACCTCAGTAGTGTAGTGGTGACTGAGGTGGAAGCAGCTATAACAGGCTATAACAGGCTATAACAGGCTATAACAGGCTATAACAGGCTATAACTCTGACCTCAGTAGTGTAGTGGTGACGGAGGTGGAAGCAGCTATAACAGGCTATAACAGGCTATAACAGGCTATAACTCTGACCTCAGTAGTGTAGTGGTGACGGAGGTGGAAGAGGCTATAACAGGCTATAACAGGCTATAACAGGCTATAACTCTGACCTCAGTAGTGTAGTGGTGACGGAGGTGGAAGCAGCTATAACAGGCTATAACAGGCTATAACAGGCTATAACAGGATATAACAGGATATAACAGGCTTATAACAGGCTATAACAGGCTATAACAGGCTATAACAGGCTATAACTCTGACCTCAGTAGTGTAGTGGTGACGGAGGTGGAAGCAGCTATAACAGGCTATAACAGGCTATAACAGGCTATAACAGGCTATAACAGGATATAACAGGCTTATAACAGGCTATAACAGGCTATAACAGGCTATAACTCTGACCTCAGTAGTGTAGTGGTGACTGAGGTGGAAGAGGCTATAACAGGCTATAACAGGCTATAACAGGATATAACTCTGACCTCAGTAGTGTAGTGGTGACTGAGGTGGAAGAGGCTATAACAGGCTATAACAGGCTATAACAGGATATAACTCTGACCTCAGTAGTGTAGTGGTGACGGAGGTGGAAGAGGCTATAACAGGCTATAACAGGCTATAACAGGATGTAACTCTGACCTCAGTAGTGTAGTGGTGACTGAGGTGGAAGAGGCTATAACAGGCTATAACAGGCTATAACAGGCTATAACAGGCTATAACAGGATATAACAGGCTATAACAGGCTATAACAGGCTATAACTCTGACCTCAGTAGTGTAGTGGTGACGGAGGTGGAAGCGTGAGGCATCAGGAGAAGAGTCTGGAGTCTGGGGAGCTCTAGAAGGAGGAGCCAAACCACCTGGAATAATAGAACAGGACATGTCAGACATACCATCAGCCTCTCACATATAGTACAGAAATACATAGTTACCATCAGCCTCTCACATATAGTACAGAAATACATAGTTACCATCAGCCTCTCACATATAGTACAGAAATACATAGTTACCATCAGCCTCTCACATATAGTACAGAAATACATAGTTACCATCAGCCTCTCACATATAGTACAGAAATACATAGTTACCATCAGCCCATCACATATAGTACAGAAATACATAGTTACCATCAGCCCATCACATATAGTACAGAAATACATAGTTACCATCAGCCCATCACATATAGTACAGAAATACATAGTTACCATCAGCCCATCACATATAGTACAGAAATACATAGTTACCATCAGCCTCTCACATATAGTACAGAAATACATAGTTACCATCAGCCCATCACATATAGTACAGAAATACATAGTTACCATCAGCCCATCACATATAGTACAGAAATACATAGTTACCATCAGCCCATCACATATAGTACAGAAATACATAGTTACCATCAGCCCATCACATATAGTACAGAAATACATAGTTACCATCAGCCCATCACATATAGTACAGAAATACATAGTTACCATCAGCCCATCACATATAATACAGAAATACATAGTTACCATCAGCCCATCACATATAGTACAGAAATACATAGTTACCATCAGCCCATCACATATAGTACAGAAATACATAGTTACCATCAGCCCATCACATATAGTACAGAAATACATAGTTACCATCAGCCCATCACATATAGTACAGAAATACATAGTTACCATCAGCCTATCACATATAGTACAGAAATACATAGTAGTTACCATCAGCCCATCACATATAGTACAGAAATACATAGTTACCATCAGCCCATCACATATAGTACAGAAATACATAGTTACCATCAGCCCATCATATATAGTACAGAAATACATAGTTACCATCAGTCCATCACATATAGTACAGAAATACATAGTAGTTACCATCAGCCCATCACATATAGTACAGAAATACATAGTTACCATCAGCCCATCACATATAGTACAGAAATACATAGTTACCATCAGCCCATCACATATAGTACAGAAATACATAGTTACCATCAGCCCATCACATATAGTACAGAAATACATAGTTACCATCAGCCCATCACATATAGTACAGAAATACATAGTTACCATCAGCCCATCACATATAGTACAGAAATACATAGTTACCATCAGCCCATCACATATAGTACAGAAATACATAGTTACCATCAGCCCATCACATATAGTACAGAAATACATAGTTACCATCAGCCCATCACATATAGTACAGAAATACATAGTTACCATCAGCCATCACATATAGTACAGAAATACATAGTTACCATCAGCCCATCACATATAGTACAGAAATACATAGTTACCATCAGCCCATCACATATATACAGAAATACATAGTTACACATATTGCCATCCATATAGTACGAATACATATAGTACCATCAGCCATCACATATATTACGAAATACATAGTTACATCACCATGATATACTATTCAGAAATCAGTTGTGGTATTTACTTGAATACTTTTGGCCGATTGCATTTATTTGATCGTTAAATAATACACGGCAAAAAGCTATTAACGATAACAACAACGTTTTTTGACTTATTTATGACTGTTGACGTCTGTTGACGTCTGTTGACTACTGTTGACGTCTGTTGACTACTGTTGACGTCTGTTGACGTCTGTTGACGTCTGTTGACGTCTGTTGACGTCTGTTGACTACTGTTGACGTCTGTTGACTACTGTTGACGTCTGTTGACTACTGTTGACGTCTGTTGACTACTGTTGACTACTGTTGACTACTGTTGACTACTGTTGACGTCTGTTGACGTCTGTTGACTACTGTTGACGTCTGTTGACGTCTGTTGACTACTGTTGACTACTGTTGACGTCTGTTGACTACTGTTGACTACTGTTGACTACTTCTTTATTACTGGGGGATGGGTCACAGAGTGACTGAGGAGGATGTGAAGGAACAGGTTGCCATTCCCTTGAACCAGTAATCAGTGGACTGTTTCTTCTGTACAGGGGGTTCTGGTGTGAACCCGTGTGCCTGAGTCAGTCAGTCTGTCTGCTAGCCTCGTTTCACCCAGCCCCAAAACTCTACATCACTAAGTCATCCTCCTCTTACTACATTTACATTTAGATCACAAATAACTATTCTGCTGCGTAACCAATGTAGAACTTCAACAAGAAATACTTTACTGGCACGACTCTACAAAACATTAAAAACACTCAAAAGTTTCATCATTCAATTCCTTCCCATACGAAAAAAGATTGCAGTCAGAATGCTGTATAGCTGCAGCATGCTGCAAAGACTGCGTACTTTTTGCAGTATAACGGCAGTTATTCTGCAATTACCACGTCCAGAATACCACAGTCACCTGCACTTTTACTGCAGTTTCAAAACTGCAATCTTTTTTTGTAAGGGTTCTACTTTTTCTGAAACAGTTTTTTTTTTTTTAAGTATTACAAAAAATATTTTTTTCATTTTTTGTAATTGATGTTGAATATTATATAACATTCTTGAAATTGTTCCAATAATAATACGTTATAAAATGACTATTTTAGGAGGAGGAATTAACCATTTACATTCTGCTAACTTATGTCAAACGGAAAAGCCGCTGAAACTAGCAAACTAGCAAACTAGGGCCCAGAGTGAGAATGATGAGAGACTACTTTACGCACTAGAGAAGGAGTTGTGGCGGAACACCTTGCAGGGCGAGGTGGGGCTCTGAGAGGCGAGGCGTCCCTGGGCTGGGCTCCTCCTCAGGCCCGTGATGCTGCCGTGCTGGGGAGAGGCGTAGGAGGTGAAACCTTCAGGGTCAAGGACAGAGCACTCCTCCAACAGAGAGGTGCATTCTGGGTCCACTGAGGTCATTGATGACACGCTGATCTGGTCACAGTTCACATCCTGTGGGAGAGGAGTGTTACTTTTCAAATGGTGCACTTGAATGGTAAATTGCCAAAATGGCATCTTGACAATTGATCAGGTTTCAACAAATAACCTGCGCACTGCAATTTACTTTTATTAAAGGTAACTTCAGATTGAGCTGACGTCTGCAGCATTGAGGGAATGTGATCTTGGTGAACATAACATGCCTTTTAATGTATATTGCTGTGCACATGTCATTAATCTGCGTTGGATCCCGGGCCAATGTCTTCCATTAGAGTGATGGTTTTACAAACCTGTGAGAGAGATGTCTGTGACGACAGGCGGGAGTAGAGCCTGCTAGCCTTCTCAGCCACCCCCTTCCCTGCTGACAGGAAGCTGCTCTTAACCATGTCCAGACTAAGAGACGGGGTGAGGAGGGAGTCCATGGAGAAGGGTGAGGAGGGGGAGACCAGGGAGGAAGGACGGAGGCGTTCTTTGGGCCTGGAGAAGGGTGAGGAGGGAGTAGGGGAGGAGGGGGAGACCAGGGAGGAAGGACGGAGACGTTCTTTGGGCCTGGAGAAGGGGAGGTGTGAGTTGGCACGAAGCAGGGGAGGAGGGGGTCGGGGGTCGGTGCAGGGGGAGTGGGTCAGGCTGAGGGGCCGAGGCCGGCGGGAGGAGTGTTGAGACGGGGTGGAGGAGGCGTGGACTAGGGGGCTGGATGGGTTCTGAAGGTCCATGCTGGTGGTCCTGCTGCTCAGAGGGCTTGTGGCCTTCATGTACATCTCTATCTCAGCTGCTAGATCCCGACGGGCTGTGGAGGCACTGCTACTGTCCCCGTCAACCTCTGTCTCCATCTCAGCTGCTATCAGGGACAGAGGGTCAAAGCCAGTCTCAACGATACCTGTCCTCTTCACGGCACCACTACTGTTTCTTACACTGCAATCTGCAGCCCCGGCCCCGTCTCCACTAACACTGCAATCTGCAGCCCCGGCCCCGTCTCCACTAACACTGCAATCTGCAGCCCCGGCCCCGTCTCCACCACTCCTCGTTTCCACCTCCATGGCAGGCGTCTGTCTGTCCTTACTGCCTTCTCCCAATCTATCCAGGTCCTGGGTAGGAGCAGCATGACTGGCCTCAGCCTTCCCTGGTCTGCAGTTCGGAGGAGGGGGGCGTTTTGGAGCCGGGCCACGGACCTGCTTGGTGGTGGAGGTGAAGTTGAGTGTGACGGTCCTGAGAGTCCCCCGTCCTCCGGTCAGGTCCAGGGAGTTGGGCCTCAGCCTCCGGTTCTTTGGTCTGGTACCACCGGGGTCCTGACTGGTCATAGGACCTAAAGACACAACAGTTGGTAAGTCAGATGATAGCTGATCTACAGCCCTTTTCAAAACCTCTCCACAGGGGGACACCCAGCCAGAACTAATTCAATAAAAAACTGAACCAGCTGATTCAAGTAGTCATGGGGTTGGGGATTAGTTGACAACACAGGTGGCACCTTAACTGGGGAGGACGGGCTCATGGTAATGGCTGGAACGGAATCAGTGGAATCCAACACATCAAACACATGGTTTCCATGGTGATACCGTTCCATTCACTCCGTTCCAGACATTACTATGAGCCAGGCCACCTGTGTTGTCAACTCTTTTTGTGAGAAGTGTTGACATGCTGAATCGGACACCCATGCATACCCCACAAGACATACCACCAGAGGTCTCTTCACAATAAGTTCAGAACAGACTATGGGAGGTGCACAGTACTACATAGAGCCATGACTACATGGAACTCTATTCCACATCAGGTAACTGATGCAAGCAGTAGAATCAGATTTTTAAAAAACGGATAGAAATACACCTTATGGAACAGGGGGGACTGTGAAGAGACACACACACACAGGTACACACACACATGATAACATATACACTCTATACACACGTACACATGGATTTTGTGTTGTAGATATGTGGTAGTAGAGTAGTGGCCTGAGGGAACACACTTAATGTGTTGTGAAAAGTGTTATGAATTTTAATGTAATATTTGTAATTGTAGAATGTATAACTGCCTTAATGTTGCTGGACCCCAGGAAGAGTAGCTGGGATCCATAATAAACCCCAGGAAGAGTAGCTGCTGCCTTGGCAGGAACTAATGGGGATCCATAATAAACCCCAGGAAGAGTAGCTGCTGCCTTGGCAGGAACTAATGGGGATCCATAATAAACCCCAGGAAGAGTAGCTGCTGCCTTGGCAGGAACTAATGGGGATCCATAATAAACCACAGGAAGAGTAGCTGCTGCCTTGGCAGGAACTAATGGGGATCCATAATAAACCCCAGGAAGAGTAGCTGCTGCCTTGGCAGGAACTAATGGGGATCCATAATAAACCCCAGGAAGAGTAGCTGCTGCCTTGGCAGGAACTAATGGGGATCCATAATAAACCCCAGGAAGAGTAGCTGCTGCCTTGGCAGGAACTAATGGGGATCCATAATAAATACTAAAACACCAAGCCCTTCACTACTGGATCAGGTGTGCTAATTCAAACATAGTTTTTGTCAAAAGTCCCATAGGAGAGGTTTGAACAAAGCTGATTTATGCCATGAAGTTAGTTCAGTTAAACTAGAAATAATAGCGGTCCTAGAATCGATCCCAGTGGAACGTTTAATCTCAAGAGGGGAGGAGATAAGATAGGTCTATATCAAAAAAAAAAATCTCTGAATGTTCTACTTCAAACTCAATAACAAAACTAAATCATCAAACAGATTGAAAAACAACAGAGCAGAACAGAAATCAGGAAAAAAGACTAGATACTCTTATTTCACCCACACTGTGCTGACATTTACATTTGAGTCATTTAGCAGACGCTCTTATCCAGAGCGACTTACAGGAGCAATTAGGGTTAAGTGCCTTGCTCAAGGGCACAGACAGATTTTTCACCTAGTCGGCTCGGGGATTAGAACCAGCGATCTTTCGGTTACTGGCACAACGCTCTTACCCACTAAGCTACCTGCCTGCCGACATCTACGGCAGAGGATTCATTACACTCTGTCAATAACTGGTTATTTTATTCTGCCCTTAGAGACCAGGAAGGAGTTTTTACCTCATTGCTCAGATTAGTAGAATAACTGGAATATAAAATGTAACACATTTCGATATAAATAATAAAGTAATTATTTTGAGCTGTATTAACCAGCCCACTACGGTGCAGGGTTGGGGACAATTCCATTTCAATTCAGTCAATTCAGGAAGTACACTGAAATTACAATTATCTTGAAATGTTTTCCAATGAGGGCATTTTGGAATTAGAACGGTAATGGTATGGACCATTCGGTTAGAACGGTAATGGTATGGACCAATCGGTTAGAACGGTAATGGTATGGACCATTCGGTTAGAACGGTAATGGTATGGACCATTCGGTTAGAACGGTAATGGTATGGACCATTCGGTTAGAACGGTAATGGTATGGACCATTCGGTTAGAACGGTAATGGTATGGACCATTCGGTTAGAACGGTAATGGTATGGACCATTCGGTTAGAACGGTAATGGTATGGACCAATCGGTTAGAACGGTAATGGTATGGACCATTCGGTTAGAACGGTAATGGTATGGACCATTCGGTTAGAACGGTAATGGTATGGACCATTCGGTGGTGTCTTGAGTAGTGTACATGTTTAAACTCACAAGACTCCCTCTCTCCCTTCTCCTTCTCCACCGGTGTTCTATCCCTTCCCACCATCATCTTCTCCTTCTCCACCGGTGTTCTATCCCTTCCCACCATCATCTTCTCCTCCTCCACCGGTGTTCTATCCCTTCCCACCATCATCTTCTCCTTCTCCACCGGTGTTCTATCCCTTCCCACCATCATCTTCTCCTCCTCCACCGGTGTTCTATCCCTTCCCACCATCATCTTCTCCTCCTCCTTGGACAGAGAGTCATAGCCTTGGTCTGACTGGCCACCTGAAAAAGACAGACAGACAGACACCGAGTGCACAAAACATTAAGAACACCTTCCTAATATTGAGTTGCATCAGGGCATGGACTCTACAAGGTGTCAAACGCTTTCCACAGGGATGCTTGGCCCATGATGACTCCAATGCTTTTTTTATTTTTTTTTAGTCATTTAGCAGACGCTCTTATCCAGAGCGACTTACATGAGCAATTAGGGTTAAGTGCCTTGCTCAAGGGCACATCGACAGATTATCACCTAGTCGGCTCGGGGATTAGAACCAGCGACCTTTCGGTTACTGGCACAACGCTCTTAACCACTAAGCTACCTGCCGCCCCACAGTGGTGTCAAGTTGGCTGGATGTCCTTTTGGGTGGTGGACCATTCTTGATGATACACCACGGGAAACTGTTCACAAACCGGTCTACCTGGCACCTACTACCATACCTTGTTCAAAGGCACTTAAATCTTTTGTCTATTCACCCTCTGAATGGCACACACACACAATCCATGTCTCAATTGTCTCAAGGCTTAAAAATCCTTCTTTAACCTGTCTCCTCTCCTTCATCTACAACTGATTGAAGTGGATTTAACAGGTGACATCAATAAGGGATCATAGCTTTCACCTGATTTCACTTGGTCAGTCTATGTCATGGAAAGTTCCTAATGTTTTGTACACTGAGTTCAGTATGTTTCAAGCTTCAAGTTTATTTTATTTTTTATTTTATAGAACAACATTAAGAAACAAGCCTGTATTAAGAACCAGTGTGGATGAGGTATTGATGAGGTATTGATGAGGGGAGAGAGGGATGACAGGAGGGGAGAGAGGGAGGACAGGAGGGGAGAGGGAGGACAGGAGGGGAGAGAGGGAGGACAGGAGGGGAGAAAGGGATGACAGGAGGGGAGAGAGGGTGTGAGTGACTGAGTGACTGAGTGACTGAGAGAGTGAGCGCAGTAAATATCGTCTCAGCTCAGCTCGTAGTGTGAAAAAGGAAGACACACTCCACCCATCACACACAAGGATGGACAGAAGAGGTGAGGAGGAATCAGAAGAGGAGGAGGGGAGAAAGGGAGGGAGGGAGGACAGGAAGGAGAGAGGGAGGACAGGGGGGAGAGAGGTGACAGTGGGGAGAGAGGATGACAGGAGGGGAGAGAGAGGACAGGAGGGGAGAGGGGAGGCAGTACTGTGCTTGGAGAGGGGGAGAGGTTGACAGAGAGATAGGGAGGGAGGGAGAGAGGGAGAGAGGGATGAGAGGGGGAGAGAGGGATGAGGGCGAGAGGAGGGGGACGGAAGGGGGGGAGCGATGAGGGGGGGGAAGGGGGATGAGGAGGAGAGGGGAGAGAAGCCGAGGGAGAAGGGGGGGAGAGAGGGAGGGGGAGCGAGGGGAGAGGGGGGGGAGATGAGAGGGAGGAGAGGAAGGGGGATGGGAAGGGGGAGGGGAGGGGGAGGAGAGGGATGAGAGGAGAGGGAAGGGGCGAGAGGAGAGCGGGATGAGAGGAGGGAAGGGGGAGAGAGGGATGAGAGGAGGGGAAGGGGGAGAGAGGGATGAGAGGAGGGGAGAGAGGGATGAGAGGGACGAGGAAGGAGGGAAGAGGGATGAAGAGGGAGGGGAGGGGTAACATCTTTAGGTACCTGTGCTGGATCCATCATCGCTGGAGTCCATCTTAGTGAAGTCTGTATCGATTGAGACCCGTTCAACTGAGTCGTTAGTACTGTCTTCACTATCATGGCTGACTGTGTCCAGATCACTGTAGTCTGTAGAGAGAGAACAGAGAGTTAACACTGTCTTCACTATCATGGCTAACACTACAATGACATTCTAGACGATTCTGTACTTCCAACTTTGTGGCAACAGGTCCTTTCCTGTTTCAGCATGACAACGCCCCGTGCAAAAAGCGAGGTCCATACAGAAATTATTTGTCGAGATCGGTGTGGAAGAACTTGACTGGCCTGCACAGAGCCCTGACCTCAACCCCATCAAACACCTTTGGGATGAATTAGAACGCCGACTGCGAGCCAGCCCTAATCGCCCAAAATCAGTGCCCGACCTCACTAATGCTCTTGTGGCTGAATGGAAGCAAGTCCCCGCAGCAATGTTCCAACATCTAGTGGAAAGCCTTCCCAGAAGAGTGGAGGCTGTTATAGCAGCAAAGGGGGGGACCAACTCCATATTAATGCCCATGATTTTGGAATGAGATGTTCAATGAGCAGGTGTCCACATACTTTTGGTCATGTAGTGTATTTCGCTGGTGTATTTCTTAAAATAAGGTCAATCATATACCAGCGATGGTGTAGACCTAAATCAGCATGTTGTTTGTGCAACAGTATCTTCAAATCAAAGAGGAATGCGCGAAGCATGAATATGTTAGCTACACGAAGTACATGAAGTAGCTAAGAGAAAACATTCAATGTAACCAGATTATAGGGTCCCCAAGGAAACACTTTGATTCCTACGACTCCTCCCTGGCATTTTCATTTGTTGTCATGTCAACACTGTATTCAAAGGGCCCCACTGTTATATTCTAACTATAGAATTAGAACAATCATTCTATTTCCATGATTCCAACAGTTCACCCAAGTGTTTTGCTCTAAATCGCAAGTCAAATCGCAATTGCAACATTTGGTTAAAAATAAGGCCTGGATTGTTTGCCCATGTTGTGCATCCCTACGTGGCAGTTTGGAAATGATCTCAAATGACTGCAGAAAATGGATGAAAACGCTTTAAATTATTTTGGGTTGAAGTTGAATTGAACAGTATAAAACAAATCAGAACGACTGAAATACAGTTTACAGTTTAGTCATTTAGCAGACGCTCTTATCCAGAGCGACTTCCAATTAGTGAGTGCATAAATGTTTCATACTGGCCCCCCGTGGGGAAACGGACCCACAACCCTTGCGTTGCAAGCGCCATGCTCTACCAACTGAGCTAATGTTGCCACCCATGTAGATGTTTTATTTATCAAAAACATAAAATACTATTAAATACAAGAATACCATCCAGTTTTCTTTAAATACCGTGATGTTTTGACCACATTGCCCCACTGTGAACAGCCCCTACTACACTATTTGATCAAATCAAATCACAATTTTATTTGTCACATGCTCCGAACACAACAGGTGTAGAACTGTCACGCCCTGACTCTGGGGACTCGTATTTGTTGAGTCAGGGTGTGTATTTTCTGTGTAGTATGTTCTATGTTGCATTTTCTATGTTTAGATCTATTATGTGTAGATCTATGTTGGCCGGTGTGGTTCCCAATCAGAGGCAGCTGTAGCTCGTTGTCTCTGATTGGGGACCATACTTAGGTAGCCTATTGGCACTCGTGGGTTGTGGGATCGTGTTCCGTGTTAAGGTATGTTGTGTTGCCTTGGACGTCACGTTTTGTTTGTTATTTTGTCGTTGTGTTTGATATTTAATAAACATGTATGCATATCACGCTGCGCCTTGGACCGTCCCGTCTGTAAGCAATCGTGACAAGACCTTACCGTGAAATGCTTACTTACAAGCCCTTAACCAACAATGCAGTTTTAAGAAGAAAAAAAGTTAAGAGAAAAGATTTACTAAATAAACAAAAGTAAAAAATAAAAGAGCAACAATAAAACAACAATACCTATTTCCAGGGGGTACCGGTACCGAGTCAATTTGTGGGGGTACAGGTTAGTCAAGGTAATTGAGGTGATATGTACATGTAGGTAGGTAGGGGTAAAGTGTCTATGCATAGATTGTAGATAATAAACAGTGAGTAGCAGCAGCGTAAAAACAATGGAGGGGGGGGGTCAATGTAAATAGTCTGGGTAGCCATGATTAGCTGTTCAGGAGTCTTATGGCTTGAGTGTAGAAGCTGTTCAGAAGCCTTTTGGACTAGACTTGGTGCTCCGGTACCGCTTGCGGTGCAGTAGCAGAGAGAACAGTCTATGACTAGAGTGGCTGGAGTCTTTGACAATTTTTAGGGTCTTCCACTGACACCGCCTGGTATAGAGATCCTGGATGGCAGGAAGCTTGGCCCCAGTGATGTACTGGGCCGTACGCACTACCCTCTGTAGTGCCTTGCGGTCGGAGGCCGAGCAGTTGCCATACCAGGCGGTGATGCAACCAGTCAGGATGCTCTCGATGGTGCAGCTGTAGAACCTTTTGAGGACCTGAGGACCCATGCCAAATATTTTCAGTATCCTGAGGGGGAATAGGCTTTGTCGTACCCTCTTCACGACTGTCTTGGTGTGTTTGGACCATGATAGTTTGTTGGTGATGTGGACACCAAGGAACATGAAGCTCTCAACCTGTTCCACTACAGCCCCGTCGATGAGAATGGGGGCGTGCTCGGCCCTCCTTTTCCTGTAGTCCACGATCAGCTCCTTTGTCTTGATCACGTTGAGGGAGAGGTTGTTGTCCTGGCACCAGACTTCCAGGTCTCTGACCTCCTCCCTAGAGGCTGTCTCATCGTTGTCGGTGATCAGGCCTACCGCTGTTGTGTCGTCTGCAAACTTAATGATGGTGTTGGAGTCGTGTCTGGCCACGCAGTCATGAGCGAACAGGGAGTACAGGAGGGGACTGAGCACGCACCCCTGAGGGGCACCGGTGTTGAGGATCAGCATGGCAGATGTGTTGTTACCTACCCTTACCACCTGGGGGCGGCCCGTTAGGAAGTCCAGGATCCAGTTGCAGAGGGAGGTGTTTAGTCCCAGGGTCCTTAGCTTAGTGATGAGCTTTGAGGGCACTATGGTGTTGAACGCTGAGCTGTAGTCAATGAACAGCATTCTCACGTAGGTGTTCCTTTTTTCCAGGTGTGAAAGGGCAGTGTGGAGTGCAATAGAGATTGCGTCATCTGTGGATCTGTTGGGGCGGTATGCAAATTGGAGTGGGTCTAGGGTTTCTGGGATAATGGCGTTGATGTGAGCCATGACCAGCCTTTCAAAGCATTTCATGGCTACAGATGTGAGTGCTATGGGTCGGTAGTCATTTAGGCAGGTTATCTTAGTGTCCTTGGGCACAAGGACTATGGTAGTCTGCTTGAAACATGTTGGTATTACAGACTCGGCCAGGGACAGGTTGAAAATGTCAGTAAAGACACTTGCCAGTTGGTCAGCACATGCTCGGTGTACACGTCCTGGTAATCCGTCTGGCCCTGCGGCCTTGTGAATGTTGACCTGCTTAAAAGTCTTACTCACATAGGCTACGGAGAGCGTGATCACACAGTCGTCCGGAACAGCTGGTGCTCTCATGCATGCTTCAGTGTTGCTTGCCTCGAAGCTCACATAGAAGTAATTTAGCACGTCTGGTAGGCTTGTGTCACTGGGCAGCTCGCGGCTGGGCTTTACTTTGTAGTCTGTAACAGTTTGCAAGCCCTGCCACATTTGACGAGCGTCGGAGCCGGTGTAGTACGATTCAATCTTAGTCCTGTATTGACTCTTTGCCTGTTTGATGGTTCGTCGGAGGGCATAGCGGGATTTCTTATAAGCTTCCGGGTTAGAGTCCCGCTCCTTGAAAGCGGCAGCTATACCCTTTAGCTCGATGCGGATGTTGCCTGTAATCCATGGCTTCTGGTTGTGGTATGTACGTACAGTCACTGTGGGGACAATGTCATCGATGTACTTATTGATGAAGCCAGTGATGTGGTGTACTCCTCAATGCCATCGGATGAGTCCCGGAACATATTCCAGTCTGTGCTAGCAAAACAGTCCTGTAGCTTAGCATCTGCGTCATCTGACCACTTCCGTATCGAGCGAGTCACTGGTACTTCCAGGAGGATAGAATGATGGTCAGATTTGCCAAATGGAGGGCGAGGGAGAGCGTTGTACACGTCTCTGTGTGTGGAGTAAAGGTGGTCCAGATTTTTTTCTCCCTCTGGTTGCACATGTGACATGGTAGAAATTAGGTAAAATGCAGTTTCCCTGCATTAAAGTCCCCGGCCACTAGGAGCGCTGCCTCTGGATCAGCATTTTCCTGTTTGCTTATGTCCTTATACAGCTCATTGAGTGCGGTCTTAGTGCCAGCGTCGGTTTGTGGTGGTAAATAGACAGCTGAAAACTCGTGGTCTACAGCTTATCATGAGGTACTGTACCTCAGGCGAGCAAAACCTTGAGACTTCCTTAATATTAGACATCGCGCACCAGCTGTTATTGACAAATAGACACAGACCCCCATCCCTTGTCTTACCGGAGGCAGCTGTTCTGTCTTGCCGATGCACAGAAAAACCAGCCAACTGTATATTATCCATGTCGTCGTTCTCTAACTCTGTGAAACATAAGATATTACAGTTTTGAATGTCCCTTTTGTAGGATAGTCTTGAACGGAGCTCATCCAGTTTATTCTTCAATGATTGCACGTTGGCCAATAGGACGGATTGTAGAGGCAGGTTACCCACTCGCCGACTAATTCTCACAAGGCACCCGGACCTGTGTCCCCCTGTATCTGCATCTTCTCGCGAATGACGGGGATTTGGGCCTGGTCGGGTATCTGGAGTAAATCCTTCGCGTCAGACTCGTTAAAGAAAAAATCTTCCTCCAGTTCGAGGTGAGTAATCGCTGTCGTGATATCCAGAAGCTCTTTTCGGTCGTAAGAGACGGTGGCAGAAACATTATGTACAGAATAAGTAACAAACAACGCGAAAAAACACACAAAATAGCACAATTGGTTAGGAGCCCGTAAAACGGCAACCACCCCCCCCCGGCGCCAATGTGCCATTGCTTCAGGACTGTGTGCAATCTGTGTAACTGGAAAGGGAGATGGATTTACCTGATAGCTGTGTGTCTCTGCTCTGGGTTTGGTTCTGGCCCTGGTTGTGATTCTGGATCGTCTGTTTCAGTCCCAGCCGTTTGAACTGTCCCACCCCCAGGACCACGTTCCTCAGCTTGGCCCACAGGAAGTAGCCTCCTCTAGTATTGGATGGCCACGTGCTCTCCAACACCGCCTGGAACCAATCAATCAACCAATCAATCAATCTATCAATCATACTGGATGGCTACGTGCTCTCCAACACTGCCTGGAACCAATCAATCAACCAATCAATCAATCTATCAATGATACTGGATGGCTACGTGCTCTCCAACACTGCCTGGAACCAATCAATCAATCAATCTATCAATGATACTGGATGGCTACGTGCTCTCCAACACTGCCTGGAACCAATCAATCAACCTATCAATCAATCTATCAATCATACTGGATGGCTACGTGCTCTCCAACACTTCCTGGAACCAATCAATCAATACATCAATCAATCAATCGATCAATCAAGCACACATCATATAGTGTAAATGGTAGTCTTTGTAAGTGCCATTTCTTCACCTTATTGTAGTATCCGTAGGTGATGGCGTTGGGATGAACTCCAGCCTTCTTCATCTCAAACAGAACTCTGACCGCCAGGACCGGCTGGCCGTACTGACCACATAGCTGCATTAGCACCCGGTAACACACCTAGAACAGAAGACAGGAGTTAGAGAGGACATCAACACCCGGTAACACACCTGGAACAGAAGACAGGAGTTAGAGAGGACATCAGCACCCGGTAACACACCTGGAACAGAAGACAGGAGTTAGAGAGGACATCAGCACCCGGTAACACACCTGGAACAGAAGACAGGAGTTAGAGAGGACATCAGCACCCGGTAACACACCTGGAACAGAAGACAGGAGTTAGAGAGGACATCAGCACCCGGTAACACACCTGGAACAGAAGACAGGAGTTAGAGAGGACATCAGCACCCGGTAACACACCTGGAACAGAAGACAGGAGTTAGAGAGGACATCAGCACCCGGTAACACACCTAGAACAGAAGACAGGAGTTAGAGAGGACATCAGCACCCGGTAACACACCTGGAACAGAAGACAGGAGTTAGAGAGGACATCAGCACCCGGTAACACACCTAGAACAGAAGACAGGAGTTAGAGAGGACATCAGCACCCGGTAACACACCTGGAACAGAAGACAGGAGTTAGAGAGGACATCAGCACCCGGTAACACACCTAGAACAGAAGACAGGAGTTAGAGAGGACATCAGCACCCGGTAACACACCTGGAACAGAAGACAGGAGTTAGAGAGGACATCAGCACCCGGTAACACACCTGGAACAGAAGACAGGAGTTAGAGAGGACATCAGCACCCGGTAACACACCTGGAACAGAAGACAGGAGTTAGAGAGGACATCAGCACCCGGTAACACACCTGGAACAGAAGACAGGAGTTAGAGAGGACATCAGCACCCGGTAACACACCTGGAACAGAAGACAGGAGTTAGAGAGGACATCAGCACCCGGTAAACACACCTGGAACAGAAGACAGGAGTTAGAGAGGACATCAGCACCCGGTAACACACCTGGAACAGAATACAGGAGTTAGAGAGGACATCAGCACCCGGTAACACACCTGGAACAGAAGACAGGAGTTAGAGAGGACATCAGCACCCGGTAACACACCTGGAACAGAAGACAGGAGTTAGAGAGGACATCAGCACCCGGTAACACACCTGGAACAGAAGACAGGAGTTAGAGAGGACATCAGCACCCGGTAACACACCTGGAACAGAAGACAGGAGTTAGAGAGGACATCAGCACCCGGTAACACACCTGGAACAGAAGACAGGAGTTAGAGAGGACATCAGCACCCGGTAACACACCTGGAACAGAAGACAGGAGTTAGAGAGGACATCAGCACCCGGTAACACACCTGGAACAGCAGACAGGAGTTAGAGAGGACATCAGCACCCGGTAACACACCTGGAACAGAAGACAGGAGTTAGAGAGGACATCAGCACCCGGTAACACACCTGGAACAGAAGACAGGAGTTAGAGAGGACATCAGCACCCGGTAACACACCTGGAACAGAAGACAGGAGTTAGAGAGGACATCAGCACCTTGCAGGACACCTGGAGAGGACAGGAGATATCCACAATGAACCCACAAAATAAGTTTGTACACAGACTCCTTGGTCTCAGTAAAGCTGTCCTTTCTCCTGACATGTGCGCTCCTTCACTCACTAATTTCAAAGCATTGGATTGGTAGACTGAGTTTCCCTTTTCCTTGTAAATCCACGAAGGGAAGTGCTTGGGGAGAAAGGATCGATTATTGGGACGCTGCAAGAATCTTTCAGTATTGTATCCTACCTCGTCAGGTGCCTGCAGATTTTTGTCCTGCATCTTCTTGAGGATGTCGTAGGCCATGCGCAGCGCCCGCACCTTGGAGTGGCATGCGCTGGCGTAGGCTGGCAGGCAGATGAACCACAGGCCGTAACAGTGGCGCAGCAGACACTTGGACCACATCTGGGGTACGGAGGAGTATGTTCTAGCCATCCGCTGGGCTGAGCGGATCTCCTGGAAACAAAATAAACATTTAAGAGTTGTTGTACGGTCTGACAACGGTGGGTTGAGTGGCGTTTATCAGGCGGTTCGTAAGGGCAGTCATACAGGACAGTTCATTGCTGTTTCTCAGGAGCCTGGTGGTACAGGGAGAAGATCATGACATTATGATGAAGTGTATTGCAGTTGAGAATGAAGCCCTGAGGCAGATGAGTAAGCAATGAGTTCCAGTATGTTAGAGAAAAAGATAATGTCTGTCTGTCTGGGGTAGAGAGGAGTAGGCCTTAGCCTGTCTGTCTGTCTGTCTGTCTGTCTGTCTGTCTGTCTGGGGTAGAGAGGAGTAGGCCTTAGCCTGTCTGTCTGTCTGTCTGTCTGTCTGTCTGTCTGTCTGGGGTAGAGAGGAGTAGGCCTTAGCCTGTCTGTCTGTCTGTCTGTCTGGGTTACGGAGGAGTAGGTTTTAGCTTGTCTGTCTGCCTGTCTGTCTGTCTGTCTGCCTGTCTGTCTGTCTGTCTGTCTGTCTGTCTGTCTGGGGTAGAGAGGAGTAGGCCTTAGCCTGTCTGTCTGTCTGTCTGTCTGGGTTACGGAGGAGTAGGTTTTAGCTTGTCTGTCTGTCTGTCTGTCTGTCTGTCTGTCTGTCTGTCTGTCTGTCTGGGGTAGAGAGGAGTAGGCCTTAGCCTGTCTGTCTGTCTGTCTGTCTGTCTGTCTGTCTGTCTGGGGTACAGAGGAGTAGGTTTTAGCTTGTCTGTCTGTCTGTCTGTCTGTCTGGGGTAGAGAGGAGTAGGCCTTAGCCTGCCTGTCTGTCTGTCTGTCTGTCTGTCTGTCTGTCTGTCTGTCTGTCTGTCTGTCTGGGGTAGAGAGGAGTAGGCCTTAGCCTGTCTGTCTGTCTGTCTGTCTGGGTTACGGAGGAGTAGGTTTTAGCTTGTCTGTCTGTCTGTCTGTCTGTCTGTCTGTCTGTCTGTCTGTCTGTCTGTCTGTCTGTCTGTGGTACAGAGGAGTAGGCCTTAGCCTGTCTGTCTGTCTGTCTGTCTGGGTTACGGAGGAGTAGGTTTTAGCTTGTCTGTCTGTCTGTCTGTCTGTCTGTCTGTCTGTCTGTCTGTCTGTCTGTCTGTCTGTCTGTCTGTCTGTCTGGGTTACGGAGGAGTAGGTTTTAGCTTGTCTGTCTGTCTGTCTGTCTGTCTGTCTGTCTGTCTGTCTGTCTGCCTGTCTGTCTGTCTGTCTGTCTGTCTGTCTGCCTGTCTGTCTGTCTGTCGTACAGAGGAGTAGGGCGGCAGGTAGCTTAGTGGTTAAGAGCGTTGTGCCAGTAACCGAAAGGTCGCTGGTTCTAATCCCCGAGCCGACTAGGTGAAAAATCTGTCGATGTGCCCTTGAGCAAGGCACTTAACCCTAATTGCTCCTGTAAGTCGCTCTGGATAAGAGCGTCTGCTAAATGACTAAAAATTTAAATGTAAAAAATGAGTAGGTTTTAGTCTGTCTGTCTGTCTGTCTGTCTGTCTGGGGTAGAGAGGAGTAGGCCTTAGCCTGCCTGTTGGGCTGAACAGATCACCTCCAATAGAACCATGGGAATGGAGATGGGATTATGAATGGAGATGGGATTATGAATGGAGATGGGATTATGAATGGAGATGGGGTTATGAATGGAGATGGGATTATAAATGGAGATGGGATTATGAATGGAGATGGGATTATGAATGGAGATGGGGTTATGAATGGAGATGGGGTTATGAATGGAGATGGGATTATGAATGGAGATGGGGTTATGAATGGAGATGGGATTATGAATGGAAATGGGGTTATGAATGGAGATGGGATTATGAATGGAGATGGGGTTATGAATGGAGATGGGATTATGAATGGAGATGGGATTATGAATGGAGATGGGGTTATGAATGGAGATGGGATTATGAATGGAGATGGGATTATGAATGGAGATGGGGTTATGAATGGAGATGGGGTTATGAATGGAGATGGGATTATGAATGGAGATGGGGTTATGAATGGAGATGGGATTATGAATGGAGATGGGATTATGAATGCCTGAGGTTCAGAATCAAGAAGGCCTGAGGCAGATGACGGGGAATGTGTTGGGGGTTAGGGGTGTGTGTGTGTGTGTGTGTGTGTGTTTGTGCGTCTGTCTGTCTGTCCGTCCGTCCGTCCGTCCCTCTGTCTGTCTGGTTTATGCATAGCCCCGTGAGCGTATGGTAATGACCTCTGACCTGTTTGGAGCGTCTGAAGATGGCGGCAGGGCTGGCTGGACTGGTGTGTCTCTGTGTCAGGCTAGCTGAGGGGGGGTGAAGCCCATCCTGGAGCTCCAACAAATCACGACTCAGCACCGGAAACCCAGAGTAGCTGGACAGGGTAAGGGTTAACACAACACTGTGAGTAGCTGGAAAGTGCAAGGGTTAACACAACACTGTGAGTAGCTGGACAGGGTAAGGTTCAAAACAACACAACACTGTCAGTAGCTTCATAACACTAAATAAGGCAGTGTTGTATCATATCATATCATATATATCATATCAGTGGTTTATTTTATTCATATCATATATTTGTTTCATACCTCTCCTCAGGGACCATCAGACGTTTCACCATTTTGTTGTAGCCCGGAACTAGCTCACCAGTGTTTCATTATCAGGGAAAACCCATTGAGACCAGGGTCTCATTATCTGGAAAACCCATTGAGACCAGGGTCTCATTATCTGGAAAACCCATTGAGACCAGGGTCTCATTATCTGGAAAACCCATTGAGACCAGGGTCTCATTCCAAGGGAAAACCCATTGAGACCAGGGTCTCATTCCAAGGGAAAACCCATTGAGACCAGTGTTTCATTCCCAGGGAAAACCCATTGAGACCAGTGTTTCATTCCCAGGGAAAACCCATTGAGACCAGGGTCTCATTCCCAGGGAAAACCCATTGAGACCAGGGTCTCATTCCCAGGGAAAACCCATTGAGACCAGGGTCTCATTCCCAGGGAAAACCCATTGAGACCAGGGTTTCATTCTCAGGGAAAACCCATTGAGACCAGGGTCTAATTCCCAGGGAAAACCCATTGAGACCAGTGTCTCATTCCCAGGGAAAACCCATTGAGACCAGTGTTTCATTATCAGGGAAAGCCCATTGAGACCAGGGTCTCATTCCCAGGGAAAACCCATTGAGACCAGGGTCTCATTCCCAGGGAAAACCCATTGAGACCAGGGTCTCATTCCCAGGGAAAACCCATTGAGACCAGGGTTTCATTCTCAGGGAAAACCCATTGAGACCAGGGTCTAATTCCCAGGGAAAACCCATTGAGACCAGTGTCTCATTCCCAGGGAAAACCCATTGAGACCAGTGTTTCATTATCAGGGAAAGCCCATTGAGACCAGGGTCTCATTCCCAAGGCTGCCCTGATCACAACAATACAACAACCAATACAATGTAAAACAAAACTGCAGTCAATACAAAACACAACATTTATAAAAAAAACTGTTACATTCCTCAGCTACTAGGTCCTCAATTAACACCCTAAACTGCCCGGGCGGCACCAGAACATCTAATTGTAATGAGTTCTGAACCTTGTTCCAGCTGTGAGGTGCATTAAAACTAAAAGCAGATTTACCTCATTCCTTGGAGACCCGAGGAACCTCAAGAGTTAACCAACCCTGTGAACAGGTTTGGTATGTCATGTTTTTACACTGTAACAGTAAGAAGCCAGCAGCACACCACCCTGCATCCCACTGCTGGCCCTGAAGCTAAGCAGGGTCGGTCCCTGGATGGGAGACCTTGCCCTGAAGCTAAGCAGGGTCGGTCCCTGGATGGGAGACCTTGCCCTGAAGCTAAGCAGGGTCGGTCCCTGGATGGGAGACCTTGCCCTGAAGCTAAGCAGGGTCGGTCCCTGGATGGGAGACCTTGCCCTGAAGCTAAGCAGGGTCGGTCCCTGGATGGGAGACCTTGCCCTGAAGCTAAGCAGGGTCGGTCCCTGGATGGGAGACCTTGCCCTGAAGCTAAGCAGGGTCGGTCCCTGGATGGGAGACCAGATGCTGATGGATGTGGTGTTGGAGGGCCAGTAGAAGGTACTCTATACTTTGGTCTTTAAAAAAAATATCCCAATACCGCAGGGCAGTGAAGGGGACATTGCCCTGCGTGGGGTGCTGGCTTTCGGATGGGATGTTAAACGGGTGTCTTGACTCTCTGTGGTCACTAAAGATCCCATGGCACTTATTGTAAGAGTAGGGGTGTTAACCCCTGTCTCCTGGCTAAATTCCCAATCTGGCCTTCATATCATCATGGCCACCTAATCATCCCCAGCTTCCAATTGGCTCATTCATCCCCCCCTCCTCCCCCCTGTATCTATTCCCCAGGTCATTGCTATAAATGAGAATGTGTTCTAAGTAAATTCAGCCAAGACCTCAGAAAAACAATTGTAGACCTCCACAAGTCTGGTTCATCCTTGGGAGCAACTTCCAAACGCCTGAAGGTACCACGTTCATCTGTACAAACAATAGTACGCAAGTATAAACACCATGGGACCACGCAGCTGTCATACCGCTCAGGAAGGAGACGCGTTCTGTCTCCTAGAGATGAACGTACTTTGGTGCGAAAAGTGCAAATCAATCCCAGAACAACAGCAAAGGCCCTTGTGAAGATGCTGGAGGAAACAGGTACAAAAGTATCTGTATCCACAGTAAAACGCGTCCTACATCGACATAACCTGAAAGGCCGCTCAGCAAGGAAGAAGCCACTGCTCCAAAACCACCATAATAAAGCCAGACTACGGTTTGCAACTGCACATGGGGACAAAGATTGTACTTTTTGGAGAAATGTCCTCTGGTCTGATGAAACAAAAATAAAAATGTTTGGCCGTAATGTCCATCGTTATGTTTGGAGGAAAAAGAGGGTTGCTTGCAAGCCGAAGAACACCATCCCAACCGTGAAGCACGGGGGTGGTGCTTTGCTGCAGGAGGGACTGGTGCACTTCACAAAATAGATGGCATCATGAGGAAGGAAAATTATGTGGATATATTGAAGCAACATCTCAAGACATCAGTCAGGAAGTTAAAGCTTGGTTGCAAATGGGTCTTCCAAATGGACAATGACCCCAAGCATACTTCCAAAATTGTGGCAAAATGGCTTAAGGACAACAAAGTCAAGGTATTGGAGTGGCCATCGCAAAGCCCTGACCTCAATCCTATAGAACATTTGTGGGCAGAACTGAAAAAGCGTGTGCGAGCAAGGAGGCCTTCAAACCTGACTCAGTTACACCAGCTCTGTCAGGAGGAATAGGCCAACATTCACCCAACTTATTGTGGGAAGCTTGTGGAAGGCTCCCCGAGACGTTTGACCCAAGTTAAACAATTTAAAGGCAATGCTACTGTTGTGTCGAGTAAACGTTGCTAATTATGCTGTGAGACCAAGGAGGACCCGCTGACGCTGTATTTTCATCATAAAGGTTTATTCATAACAAAGGGTTACAGCGTCGATTTACAGATACCTGCAGATACCCGGAGAATAATCGCCCCATCTCAAATATGATTATTCTGCTCTCCTTTGTCTCAACCTAGTATTTATAATCTTTACCCTGCTGTGGGTGGTTTCCCATACAGACCAATCCCCTGTCTCCACACAACAGACTTCCTCTGTTCTATGGGGTGTCCCCCTAAAACTACTCCCCAGATGCTCCCTCTAAGCTGAATAAACCTCCTCTCAGGTTCCATTTGAAAACGTCATAATTCCTCAGATACTACACTACCAAATACTAATTGAGTGTATGTAAACTTCTGACCCCCTGGGAATGTGATGAAAGAAATAAAAGTTGAAATAAATCATTCTCTCTACTATTATTCTGACACTTCACATTCTTAAAATAAAGTGGTGATCCTAACTGAGTTAAAACAGGGAATTTTTACTAGGATTAAATGTCAGGAATTGTGAAAAACTGAGTTTAAATGTATTTGGCTAAGGTGTATGTAAACTTCCGACTTCAACTGTACATACAGTGGGGGAAAAAAGTATTTAGTCAGCCACCAATTGTGCAAGTTCTCCCACTTAAAAAGATGAGAGAGGCCTGTAATTTTCATCATAGGTACACGTCAACTATGACAGACAAAATGAGAAAAAGAAATCCAGAAAATCACATTGTAGGATTTTTAATGAATTTATTTGCAAATTATGGTGGAAAATAAGTATTTGGTCAATAACAAAAGTTTCTCAATACTTTGTTATATACTCTTTGTTGGCAATGACACAGGTCAAACGTTTTCTGTAAGTCTTCACAAGGTTTTCACACACTGTTGCTGGTATTTTGGCCCATTCCTCCATGCAGATCTCCTCTAGAGCAGTGATGTTTTGGGGCTGTCGCTGGGCAGCACGGACTTTCAACTCCCTCCAAAGATTTTCTATGGGGTTGAGATCTGGAGACTGGCTAGGCCACTCCAGGACCTTGAAATGCTTCTTACGAAGCCACTCCTTCGTTGCCCGGGCGGTGTGTTTGGGATCATTGTCATGCTGAAAGACCCAGCCATGTTTCCTGAGTGGCGCAGTGGTCTAAGGCACTGCTTCGCAGTGCTAACTGTGCCACTAGAGATCCTGGTTCGAATCCAGGCTCTGTCGCAGCCGGCCGCGACCGGGAGACTCATGGGCGGCGCACAATTGGCCCAGCGTCGTCCAGGGTAGGGGAGGGAATGGCCGGCAGGGATGTAGCTCAGTTGATAGAGCATGGCGTTTGCAACGCCAGGGTTGTGGGTTCGTTTCCCACGGGGGGGCAGTATAAAAAAAAAAAAAAATGTATTCACTAACTGTAAGTGGCTCTGGATAAGAGCGTCTGCTAAATGACTAAAATGTAAATGTAATGTAAATGTTTCATCTTCAATGCCCTTGCTGATGGAAGGAGGTTTTCACTCAAAATCTCACGATACATGGCCCCATTCATTCTTTCCTTTACACGGATCAGTCGTCCTGGTCCCTTTGCAGAAAAACAGCCCCAAAGCATGATGTTTCCACCCCCATGCTTCACAGTAGGTATGGTGTTCTTTGGATGCAACTCAGCATTCTTTGTCCTCCAAACACGACGAGTTGAGTTTTTACCAAAAAGTTCTATTTTGGTTTCATCTGACCATATGACATTCTCCCAATCCTCTTCTGGATCATCCAAATGCACTCTAGCAAACTTCAGACGGGCCTGGACATGTACTGGCTTAAGCAGGGGGACATGTCTGGCACTGCAGGATTTGAGTCCCTGGCGGCGTAGTGTGTTACTGATGGTAGGCTTTGTTACTTTGGTCACAGCTCTCTGCAGGTCATTCACTAGGTCCCCCTGTGTGGTTCTGGGATTTTTGCTCACCGTTCTTGTGATCATTTTGACCCCATGGGGTGAGATCTTGCGTGGAGCCCCAGATCGAGGGAGATTATCAGTGGTCTTGTATGTCTTCCATTTCCTAATAATTGCTCCCACAGTTGATTTCTTCAAACCAAGCTGCTTACCTATTGCAGATTCAGTCTTCCCAGCCTGGTGCAGGTCTACAATTTTGTTTCTGGTGTCCTTTGACAGCTCTTTGGTCTTGGCCATAGTGGAGTTTGGAGTGTGACTGTTTGAGGTTGTGGACAGGTGTCTTTTATACTGATAACAAGTTCAAACAGGTGCCATTAATACAGGTAACGAGTGGAGGACAGAGGAGCCTCTTAAAGAAGAAGTTACAGGTCTGTGAGAGACAGAAATCTTGCTTGTTTGTAGGTGACCAAATACTTATTTTCCACCATGATTTGCAAATAAATTCATTAAAAATCCTACAATGTGATTTTCTGGATTTTTTTTCCTCAATTTGTCTGTCATAGTTGACGTGTACCTATGATGAAAATTACAGGCCTCTCTCATCTTCTTAAGTGGGAGAACTTGCACAATTGGTGGCTGACTAAATACTTTTTTCCCCCACTGTATATGTGTGTGTGTTTAGCTTAGCTGGAGCTCTGTGTGTGTGTGTGTGTGTGTGTGTGTGTGTGTGTGTGTCTGTGTACAGTACCTATAGCATAGTGGATGCTCCTCTCCCTGTGCCAACGGTCTTAGTTCAGGAGGATTGATGTAGACAGTGTGTTCACTGCGATGGGACTCGTCCAGCTCTATCAACCTGGTGTCTTCTACTCCATCACTGTCCATGTGGATCTGAAAGGGAACAACACACCCTCTTGATTGATCTGCCCTCTACTCTGTCTGTCAACAACACACCCTCTACTCTGTCTGTCAACAACACACCCTCTACTCTGTCTGTCAACAACACAGTTCTGCCCTCTACTCTGTCTGTCAACAACACACCCTCTACTCTGTCTGTCAACAACACAGTTCTGCCCTCTACTCTGTCTGTCAACAACACAGTTCTGCCCTCTACTCTGTCTGTCAACAACACAGTTCTGCCCTCTACTCTGTCTGTCAACAACACAGTTCTGCCCTCTACTCTGTCTGTCAACAACACAGTTCTGCCCTCTACTCTGTCTGTCAACAACACAGTTCTGCCCTCTACTCTGTCTGTCACAACACAGTTCTGCCCTCTACTCTGTCTGTCATAACACAGTTCTGCCCTCTACTCTGTCTGTCACACAGCACAGTTCTGCCCTCTACTCTGTCTGTCCACAGCACAGTTCTGCCCTCTACTCTGTCTGTCATACACACAGTTCTGCCCTCTACTCTGTCTGTCAACAACACAGTTCTGCCCTCTACTCTGTCTGTCATACACAGTTCTGCCCTCTACTCTGTCTGTCAACACACAGTTCTGCCCTCTACTCTGTCTGTCAACAACACAGTTCTGCCCTCTACTCTGTCTGTCAACAGCACAGTTCTGCCCTCTACTCTGTCTGTCAACAGCACAGTTCTGCCCTCTACTCTGTCTGTCAACAGCACAGTTCTGCCCTCTACTCTGTCTGTCAACACACAGTTCTGCCCTCTACTCTGTCTGTCCACAACAAGTTCTGCCTCTATCTGTCTGTCAACACACACCCTCTACTCTGTCTGTCCACAACACAGTTCTGCCCTCTACTCGTCTGTCAACAACACACCCCTCTACTCTGTCTGTCAACAACACAGTTCTGCCCTCTACCTGTCTGTCAACAACACACCCTCTACTCTGTCTGTCAACAACACAGTTTCTGCCCTCTACTCGTCTGTCACACAACACACCCTCTACTCTGTCTGTCAACAACACAGTTCTGCCCTCTACTCTGTCTGTCAACAACACAGTTCTGCCTCTACTCTGTCTGTCAACAACACACCACCGTTTCACGTGCCTCTACTCTGCGTCCACAACCACCCTCTACTCTGTCTGTCCACAACACAGTTCTGCCCTCTACTCTGTCTGTCAACAACACACCCTCTACTCTGTCTGTCCACAACACAGTTCTGCCCTCTACTCTGTCTGTCCACAACACAGTTCTGCCCTCTACTCTGTCTGTCAACAACACAGTTCTGCCTCTACTTGTTGTCACAACACCTCTACTCTGTCTGTCAACAACACAGTTCTGCCTCTACTCTGTCTGTCAACAACACAGTTCTGCCCTCTACTCTGTCTGTCAACAACACAGTTCTGCCCTCTACTCTGTCTGTCAACAACACAGTTCTGCCCTCTACTCTGTCTGTCAACAACACAGTTCTGCCCTCTACTCTGTCTGTCAACAACACAGTTCTCCCTCTACTCTGTCTGTCAACAACACAGTCTGCCTCTACTCTGTCTGTCAACAACACAGTTCTGCCCTCTACTCTGTCTGTCCACAACACAGTTCTGCCCTCTACTCTGTCTGTCAACAACACACCCTCTACTCTGTCTGTCAACAACACAGTTCTGCCCTCTACTGTCTGTCAACAACACACCCTCTACTCTGTCTGTCAACAACACAGTTCTGCCCTCTACTCTGTCTGTCCACAACAAAGTTCTGCCCTCTACTCTGTCTGTCAACAACACACCCTCTACTCTGTCTGTCCACAACAAAGTTCTGCCCTCTACTCTGTCTGTCCACAACACAGTTCTGCCCTCTACTCTGTCTGTCAACAACACAGTTCTGCCCTCTACTCTGTCTGTCAACAACACAGTTCTGCCCTCTACTCTGTCTGTCAACAACACAGTTCTCTCCTCTACTCTGTCTGTCAACAACACAGTTCTGCCCTCTACTCTGTCTGTCCACAACACAGTTCTGCCCTCTACTCTGTCTGTCAACAACACAGTTCTGCCCTCTACTCTGTCTGTCAACAACACAGTTCTGCCCTCTACTCTGTCTGTCAACAACACAGTTATGCCCTCTACCTGTCTGTCAACAACACAGTTCTGCCCTCTACTCTGTCTGTCATTAACACAGTTCTGCCCTCTACTCTGTCTGTCAACAACACAGTTCTGCCCTCTACTGTCTGTCAACAACACAGTTCTGCCCTCTACTCTGTCTGTCAACAACACAGTTCACAATTCAAAGACACAATAAGGCCACAGCTATAATGAAACCATACATCAGCCAAGTTACAAAAAATAAATTCTTTTTATACATGAGAGTCAAAGTGCCTTGATATTTTTGGAAGTTTTGCATTGTTCATACCACCTGTTTCTTCCGTGGCAAAGACCAGAAAGCTTGTACAAGGGCTAATGCTATCTATGATCAGTGATCTGTCATCTGTTGGGGCTAATGCTATCTATGATCAGTGATCTGTCATCTGTTGCTAGCTAGGAACAGGAACAGTACAAGGAAATCATTGCGATCATGTCAGACAGAGAAGAGACCAGTGATTCCAGACCAGTGATTCCAGACCAGTGATTCCAGACCAGTGATTCCAGACCAGTGATTCTAGACCAGTGATTCCAGACAAGTGATTCCAGACCAGTGATTCCAGACCAATGATTCTAGACCAGTGATTCCAGACCAATGATTCCAGATCAGTGATTCCAGATCAGTGATTCCAGACCAGTGATTCCAGATCAGTGATTCCAGATCAGTGATTCCAGACCAGTGATTCCAGATCAGTGATTCCAGACCAGTGATTCCAGATCAGTGATTCCAGATCAGTGATTCCAGAGCATGACCATATTACAGATCAGAGCCCGAGGGTCAAAGTGCATAAAGATGGCAGCCCCCATGTTCTTACCACAGACGCCTCGTTTGCTAGTTCTCCGTATTGTGCCCTGCTCTATGTTACTCTTTTATTGTATTGGCATTAGCATTAGCATTAGCATTAGCATTAGCATTAGCACAGTATTCATGATCCCAAATCTAGCTCCAAGACGGCGGCAATGTGAAGAAACAAAAAAGTAGATTGTGCTGATTTACTGGCACATTGAACAATGTCGCACGCCGTAGTTTAAAAACTCTGTGGATAGTGCTCAAACTATGACTTCATAACTGAATTCCTCCATCTTTATGCACCTTCAGCACTCACAAATATTTCCAAAACGAAAAACGTTTTTTTTTTTTCAAAAACTAAAAGCATTGTATTTGGTACAAATCATTAACTAACCCATAAACCTCAACTAAATCTTGTAATTAATAATGTGGAAATTGAGCAAGTTGAGGAGACTAAACTGCTTGGAGTAACCCTGGATTGTAAACTGCCATGGTCAAAACATATTGATACAACAGTAGCTAAGATGGGGAGAAGTCTGTCCATAATAAAGCGCTGCTCTGCCTTCTTAACAGCACTATCAACAAGGCAGGTCCTACAGGCCCTAGTTTTGTCACACCTGGACTACTGTTCAGTCGTGTGGTGAGGTGCCACAAAGAGGGACTTAGGAAAATTACAATTGGCTCAGAACAGGGCAGCACGGCTGGCCCTTGGATGTACACAGAGCAAACATTAATGATATACATGTCAATCTGTCCTGGCTCAAAGTGGAGGAGAGATTGACTTCATCATTACTTGTTTGTAAGAGGTGTTGACATGTTGAATGCACCGAGCTGTCTGTTTGAACTACTGGCACACAGCTCGGACACCAATGCATACCCCACAAGACATGCTACCAGAGGTCTCTTCACAGTCCCCAAGTCCAGAACAGACTATGGGAGGTGCACAGTACTACATAGAGCCATGACTACATGGAACTCTATTCCACATCAGGTAACTGATGCCAGCAGTAGAATCAGATTTTAAAAAAACTGATAGAAATACACCTTGTGGAACAGCGGAGACTGTGAAGAGATACACACACTGCTACAGACACGCACTCTACACACATGATAAGACACTCACTCTACACACACGTACACATATATGTGATAGTAGAGTAGTGGCCTGAGGGAACACACTAAATGTGTTGTGAAAAGTGTTATGAAATATAATGTCATGTAATATTTTAAACTGTATGTAACTGCCTTATGTGGGCGGCAGGTAGCTTAGTGGTTAAGAGCGTTGTGCCAGTAACCGAAAGGTCGCTGGTTCTAATCCCCGAGCCGACTAGGTGAAAAATCTGTCGATGTGCCCTTGAGCAAGGCACTTAACCCTAATTGCTCCTGTAAGTCGCTCTGGATAAGAGCGTCTGCTAAATGACTAAAAAGAAAAAGAAAATAAATAAAATGTTGCTGGACCCCAGGAAGAGTAGCTGCTGCCTTGGCAGGAACTAATGGGGATCCATAATAAACCCCAGGAAGAGTAGCTGCTGCCTTGGGAGGAACTAATGGGGATCCATAATAAACCCCAGGAAGAGTAGCTGCTGCCTTGGCAGGAACTAATGGGGATCCATAATCAACCCCAGGAAGAGTAGCTGCTGCCTTGGCAGGAACTAATGGGGATCCATAATAAACCCCAGGAAGAGTAGCTGCTGCCTTGGCAGGAACTAATGGGGATCCATAATAAACCCCAGGAAGAGTAGCTGCTGCTTTGGCAGGAACTAATGGGGATCCATAATAAACCCCAGGAAGAGTAGCTGCTGCCTTGGCAGGAACTAATGGGGATCCATAATAAACCCCAGGAAGAGTAGCTGCTGCCTTGGCAGGAACTAATGGGGATCCATAATCAACCCCAGGAAGAGTAGCTGCTGCCTTGGCAGGAAACTAATGGGGATCCATAATAAACCCCAGGAAGAGTAGCTGCTGCCTTGGCAGGAACTAATGGGGATCCATAATAAACCCCAGGAAGAGTAGCTGCTGCCTTGGCAGGAACTAATGGGGATCCGTAATAAACCTCAGGAAGAGTAGCTGCTG